TTAATTTTATGATTATCTTGCCTACCATGGTCTTCACCCTCTTTCACAAGTACATTCGATGAAAACCCTACATCCACAAAAGATTTCTCGAGTGTTTTTGACTTTTGCGGAACTTGTGTATTAGATGCACTATTCGGTCTTGATGAATCTGTCAAAGCACCCACCTCGTGATAGACCCACATGTACGAATATGGGTTATGGCGCCCAATTTTCGACCCGAATCGGCTTCCGATGAAAAGAGTGTATGGCGAGGAAGAAGCTTCCCTAAGAGGCTAAGTCATTAGTTAAAGGAAATCAAAACTATTAGGTATCGATTGACAGGTGGTGATCTAGTTATGACAAGTGACATATGCCATGACAAGTGACTATATGTTGTGACAAATAGTAACCGTCATGATATATGGTGATCAAACCACCCTTGAAGGCTATAATAGCTTCATCGTTGCTTCCTTCAATAGCATGATGCGGCTGGACAGAGGACTCGAAATGTTACTCGAGAGGCATATTTTCTCGGAAACATACGTTAGTGTAGACCATTAATTGGACAGATATTAAGAGAACACGTGGTGCGCATTCGCTAGTAAGCCGAATTTATCATTATCATTGCGCATTAGTTTTAAAGTATGCAAAATATGTGAATATTGACCAAGTCATCCGAATACTTTCTAGCAAAACGATATTATCGCACCATCTTCCGATTCAGCCGGCTAAGTACAGTAACCATGCTTTTGCGAAAAAATTGAAAAGGATGACCTCACAAAAAGCCCTTTTTCCATACTACCCTTTTGACCAAATTGAATTGAATCGCAGGACCATCGAGGACAAGCAAAGCCAAAGAAAAAATAAAATATATCCACTGGCCACATAAATATAGCAGTCAATAAGGGCTTGACTTAGGCTGCGCATGGCAACTTGCCAAATAGTGTTTGATTCTGTTCTTTTGTTCCCATAATCAGTTTGGGAATAGAAATCCGTTTGTTTAATTTTTTGATTCTGGGCACAAATTCTTGCAAATTTGTACCCAGAATCAGTTTTGGAGCAGAAATCAAAAATAAAAAAAAAGTAGCTTCTTGATTCTGGGAACAAAAATGAGAATCATTTTTTTTTCTTCTTCTTTTTCTTGGTTTTTAATATAACTTCTAATGTCCGACGCAAGGGCCACTCTCGTCGTATCTGGCGAGATTAAAATATTATTAATAAAAAAAATTTACCGGCCATGGCCAGCGACCAGGCCATGGCGAAAAAAATAAAAAAAAAATATTATTAATAAAAAAAATTTTACCGGCCATGGCCAGCGACCACGTCATGGCGAAAAAAATAAAAAAAAATTTACCGGCCATGGCCAGCAACCAGGCCATGGCGAAAAAAATAAAAAAAATATTTTCAATAAAAATATTTTTTATTAAAATATTATTAATAAAAAATTATTTATAAAAAATATTTTACTGGCCATGGCCAGCGACCAGGCCATGGCAAAAAAAAAAGAAAAAAAATAATTTCAATAAAATATTTTTTTATTAAAATATTATTAATAAAAAAAATATTTTACCGGCCATGGCCAACGACCAGGCCATGGCGAAATAAAAAAGAAAAAATATTTATTAGTAAAATATTTTTAAAAAAAATTATTAATAAAAAATATTTTATAAGAAAATTTTTTACCGGCCATGGCCAAAAAAAATAAAAAAATTATTTTTAATAAAAGTATTATTAATTAAAAAATATTTTACCGGCCATGGCCAAGAAGGAGGAGAAGAAAAAAAGAAAAGAAAGAAATATTAAAATATTTAAAATGTTATTAAAAAATTATTAATAAAAAGAAATTTTATGCCGTTACCAAACGCATTTCTGTTCTTTTACTATTTCAGGAATAGAAATTTTGGGCCGTTACCAAACACTTTCAAATGCTCAGAATCAGTTCCCGGGCACAGAATAAAAAAGAATCATTTCTGACCAGAATCTGTTCCCGGGCACAGAATGGTTGTCATGCGCAGCTTTAGATGACAAGAGAGTTCACACCTCTCTTTGTAGTCTCGGGATCAAATCTTGTTGGAGCATTTCTTCAAGAGTAAGTTCCTGAATACACCAAATTGTTTGGGAAAGTGAATTGGTTGAGATGCGCAACAATTGATCCGGCACCCGATTTGCTGATATGGATTTTGAGGTGAATCTTGTCGATTGGTAAGGGATTTGCTTCTCTTGGATCATTATTATTCGGTTAAAATGTAACCTTACCAAAGGAAGGGAGCTTTTCGCTCGTACGAGATCCTCTGCGGCCTGTCCCCGTCTTGTGAGGCGGGCTCCACGGATGCGTTTCTTATTTTTTCATGTCGGTTAGGGGTGAGCATAGTTGAACCTGAAAACCAGACCGGAAATGAACTTGTCTGGTTCTAGGTTCTAAGGTATGCAGGGTAGGTTCCAAGTTCCAAAAATTAGGTAACTTATTTTGACGGGGAGGTTTTAGGTTCTAATTAGGTGGAACGTGGAACCTGACTGTGTTTTTCTTGGTCTATGTCTTCGCATGATTTTACGGTATATTATAGCGTCCGATGACGAGTGTATAATTTGGAACTACTAATATGAGTTTCTATTTTATGACTAGGGCTTCTACTTTGTTAATATTTCATATTTTCGTGTGTCTAAATATAGTTATTGTCGGTGGATTGTAGTAGCAATTAGTGGTCATAAAATGTGATGATTCACTATAATAATTCAATTAATAATATAGGTGAAGTCTGAGTAGATCCTGGAACTGACTCTGAAACTTGTGACAATGTAGGTTTTAGGTTCCAAAGTATTCAAAAAATTATTAACCTGTATCAACGGGTAGGTTCGAGGTAGAATATAGAACCACTCATCTCTAGTATCGGTGCTCATATGTCTTGCACTCTTAACTCCTCTATATCTTTATCTTCTTTGGGGAGAGAAAATACTCTCTAACCTTTTTACATTCCGAAAATCTCGAGATCTGGATGAGACCTGAAATGAAGCTTTTCGAGGTTAACTTTGACTCAATGAACAAAACCTTATTGGGTTAATACCACGAAAAACCCTAAACTGGTACATTTGTGACACATTTACTCCAAACTATTTTTTTGACCATAAAAAACCCCAAACTGGTACACCTGTGACAATTTTACCCCGAACTATTTTTTTGACCATCAAAAACCCCAAACTGGTACATCTGTGACAATTTTACCCTGAACTTACCACAAAAAACCCCAAACTGGTACATATGTGACAATTTTACCCTGAATTAAAATTTTAATATTATTTTTTTTTATTTTTTTTTCGAATTTTTATTTATTTATTTATTTATTTCCTTTTATTTTTTTTTCTTTATCTTCAACCTCTGGCCGGTCGCCGGTCCGGCGACCGGCCAGAGGCGGAAGCCGGCGAGGGCGGCGTCGGGCGAGGGCCGTCCTCGCTAGATTCGGTGAGGGCGACCCTCGCCGGTATCGGGCGAGGGCTGCCCTCGCCTGCGTCGGGCGAGGGCCGCCCTCGCCGGCGTCGGGTGAGGGCCGTCCCGGCGATCCGGCGAGGGCGACCCTCGCTGCGTCGGGCGAGGGCGCCTCGCCGGCGTCGGGCGAGGGCCGCCCTCGCCGGCGTCGGCAGGAGCGATCCTCGCCCGACGCAGCGAGGGCCGCCCTCGCCGGATCGGCGAGGGCGACCTTCGCCTACGTCGGGCGAGGCGACCCTCGCCGCTGAGGCGAGGCGGCCCTCGCCGGCGTCAGCGAGGATGGCCTCGCCCGACGCCGGCGAGGGCCGCCCTCGCTAGATCCGGCGAAGGTCGCCCTTCCCGAGTCGAGTGAGGGCGGCCCTCGCCGGCTTCCGCCTCTGGCCGGTCGCCGGACCGGCGACCGGCCAGAGGTTGAAGTGAAGAAAAAAAAAAGAAAAGAAAAGAAAAGAAAAAATTCAAAAAAATTCAAAAAAATAAAAAAATAATATTAAAAATTAGTTGGGATAAAATTGTCACATGTGTACCAGTTTGGGATTTTTTGTGGTATGTTCGAGGTAAAATTATCACAGGTGTATCAATTTGGGGTTTTTTATGGTCAAAAAAATAATTTGGGGTAAATGTGTCACAAGTGTATCAGTTTAGGGTTTTTCATGGTATTAACCCAACCTTATTCCTCGTGGATTTCTTGTTTCCTGGCTCCCGGATGAAAAGTCAAACCGCATTTTGTTGAACAATGATGAGTGTTTAGGACTTCACTAGTAACCCAACAACAACAAAGAACGACAGTTTTAGCAAGAAAAACAACAAAGAACGACAAAACCGCACCCATCGATTGCATCGAATGAAGGGGGTGAGCGGGGTATTCCAGTAATTTCAGCCGTAGAATCCCCGACCGTTGTTTATCGCCACCTCAGCATCATGCTCGTCGTTTCAACATCAGCGTCTCGCGGCGTAGGGGCCAGATCGCCTGAATTTCCGACTTTACCCCTACGTTATTCAAATCACACCCCACCTCACGCAGTTCAACCCCAGCGACCAGCTTTCTAGGGGGGGGAATTGTTAAAAGATGGCAACGTACATTTGTATATTATGAAAATAACAATGAACATAGTTATTTCAAAAATCGAAAAACATTTCTTATAAAATGCGTATGGTGAGTGTCTAAACCATGTCTCAAGAAGTATGATCCAGAGTTCGAAAGCCTCCTTTATCTCATTTTAAAAATTACTCGACCTAGAATTCGAAAGTCTCGTTTGTCTCATTTTAGAAATTACTCGACGGGGGAAATGCGATCTAAATTAGACGGAAATGTTCATGCGACACGGATTATATAAAGGAAATGAAATTACCCGCGATGCTCGATAAGCATATTTTATTAGAATAATCTTAATTTTTTTAAGACAAGGACATGAAAAAACATAGGAATGTTTTCTTATTACGCCCGCTCTCTCACTTTCTTGGTATCCAAAGTAAAAGCAGAGCCCCATCTCGGATCCTCCGTGTCACTGTGCGTGTGTGTGTCTGTCTCTCTCTATAAACCCACCTTTTCTCTCTCTAGAACTTCCCCTACTCCGGCATCTTTTGCGCCCCGTGAGCTCGCACTTGCAAGCGCAAGGAGAGCGGTCGGCAGATGTACAGCCTTGCTGCTGCTGCTGCTGCTGCTCGCCTTCTTCTTCTTTTCTTTTCGGCAGCTCCGCTTCGCTTTCCTTGATTCTGGGTCGATCCCTTTTCTGCTGATTGATGTTGCATTTCTGATCCTTTGGGGGATCAGTGAGTGAGTGATAAAGGGTCGCTTTCGCTGTCGCTCGCTGGTCAAAGCCCGGGTTCAAATTTGCAATCTTTGGTTCTTCGATGAAGCCTTCGACGCGGCTAGATTCGGCTGTCTTTCAGCTCACGCCTACTCGAACCAGGTTCTTTTCTTGATTCGTCTCTCTCTCTCTCTCTCTCTCACTCGCGCATCCAGCTACTGCTTGTTTCGGTCGTCTTGAGTGTGTCTACTCCATCGTTGAAGTAATTGCTGGTGATTATTGTAATGCATCCTCGGTTAATGGGTCGCTCCGTTTGCCTTAAAATTGGAAACAAAAGGAGTCTGCAAGAGTCAATGCAGGATTGTCTTTCAGTATGTGGAGTCTGGATCTATTGTAGCGCTTGTTATTGTTGACAATCGGACGAGGTTCTTTCTGTTGCATGAAGAATCTTTCCACCGAGAAGCCTTCTAGAGTTCTAATGTTTGATCAGTCTGGGATCAAGTTGTTTTGTCTTTATCATGGATGTTGACCCGCATGCCTCGTGCAATTTTTTAAACATTGATGTTCTAGTGGTGAATTATGTGCTTTGCGGACTGTTGAATGAGTCTGGATTGGACTTTGGTACGGAGCTACAACGAGGAGTTACTAGTTTCCCCCTCCACCGCAATCATCGAACAACCGAAAGCCTGCATCCAAGGAATCTTCAGTGAAACCGGCAAACCAAACACTTATTTCTCTCAGTCTGGGACTTTAGTTTATGTTCCTCGGTTTCTTTCATTCCTTGGCCCCTAGTTCAAGCATGGGTATTAGGGTGGCAGCATGATTCTTAAGCCTCTTTTCTATGGTTCTTTGCGGTTGCATTCACCAACTCTTATCCGTGTGGTGGTGTCCCCCACGCACTGGCTGTAGGACAATGAAAGCCTGGTGCTGGCCAACCTGATTAGGGAAGCAGAAATAATTGTTGAAGACCACCACATATAAAGGTGGAAATCCCATAAATGGGTAAAGGAGTAGTGTGAAGGATCTAATTTGAGACTTTCTGATATCATCCTGGAGTTGAGCGTACCATTCATTTCTCTGATAATCTGAGTTTCTTTTATTGGACCTGTGACAAGTGGCATGTAATGGTTGGATTCATCAACTTTAGAAGTGCCACAATGAACAATGTTACTTTTGTTCTAATCTTGTGCAATGAGTAACTTACTTGCTTTTGCACTTTCAAGGGTTGACTGAGTTAGGCATCGGATGTTTACTGCATTTGCAGGTGCGACTTGGTTATAGTTGCAAATGGGAAGAGTGTGAAAATAGCTTCTGGTTTGCTTAGCCCTTTTCTTGCCCATCTGAAGGCTGCACAAGAACAGGTGGCTAGAGGGGGTTACTCAATTATTCTTGAGCCGGAGCCTGACAGTGACGCAACATGGTTCACTAAGGGAACAGTGGAAAGGTTTGTGCTCTGCTGTGATGTGCATGACTATCTGTACTCGCCAATATATCGAAAGTTTGAGTATATTTCTGTATAGAATAGCTGGCTGAGGGATTTGATGCCCATTACAATCATAAGCATGTAAGTAACTCCCAAGAACGTTGACTGAATGACTTAACAGAATATCTTTTGTAAGTTTTCATGTAACTTTAAGACGTGGCAAAGTATTGAAAAAGGTGACAAACAAGGTAGCTTACTAGTGGCAGTAGGGTATTACATTCTTCATATGCGACTCGATACGGGAAAATTACCACATAGGCTTCTACCATTCTGTAAATGGAACTGCTCTCTGGATGTTTGTCTTCTAAACCTTGATTCTTGACGAAGATAAATTGTGCGTCTACTTTAGCATCTGGTTTGCAATTGAACCAGAAAGAACGTTGACTACTCAAGCTGATTGGAAAACGAAAAGTTCAAATCACATGATTGATATGGGAGTAGTTAGCATGCATGTTAAAAGATGCTAAACTTCTTCAGGTTTGTACGATTTGTGAGCACACCAGAAATCCTGGAAAGAGTATATACTCTAGAATCTGAGATCCTGCAAATTGAGGAGGCAATTGCGATTCAAAGTAACAATGACGGAGGATTACAAAGTGTAAGTTACCTTGATCAATTTTTGAGATCGTTAATATAACAAAACAAATTTATGTGGTTATTTTCCGTGCACCAGGTGGAAGACCATGAAGGGAAACCTGCAGAGTCTGTGGAAGGTACTGTAAATGTGAATGTAGGGTTATTACTTTGTGTTCGAGTAAATCATCTTTTTCCTCTTTGCTTGTTTCTTTACGGGGGGAAAGGGTTGGGAGGTTGTTTGACATTTGAGTCGTCTGCACGTCTTATTTTTCCTTTTCCTTTATCTGACCAACAGAAGATAAACATGGTGCCTATCGTGTTATGCTCATCAATTGTCGTTTGTGTTCCTTTTTCTTCTCAAGCATTTATTGCTCTGCGATACTGAGATATGGATTCTGAATGTAGTAGAACAATTTCTGATGATTGCTCTGACTTATACGGTGTAATGATCACTATCTTGTTGCAGGCGGCAATCCCTTGCTTGAGGGTAGTGAGGATAAAGCTATTGTTATTTACACGGTAAGGGAGCAATTATTTTTGCGTCATTTCATGTCTTATTGTTCCCATTCCAATAGGTTTGCTTAATTTTGTTTATATTATGTTTGTCAGCCTAGTGCACAGCCTTCTAAAGCAAGTGGATCCACCTCACAAGAAGGAAATTCAAAGTAAGTACTATTTCTGAAGATTACTTGAAAGATGATTACAAGATATTGCTGTGCTAATTCACATTAAGGACAAATAGTTTTTCTGGAGGCTTCATTATTTGCAGTTTTACTGCAATTTGATTTCTCTGTTCTATTTTAAAGCACATGTTGGCATTTTAGCCTAAGAAAGCACGCCCGGATCTTGCCATGTGTCTATCCCGTCCCTCTTGGAAGTATATGCACAGCTCTTAGAATCATATTCATCTGAGATGGTACCTGTTAGAAGATGAATAACTGAATTGGAAGGAGCATCATCAATTCTCTCTTTTTGTTCATTACTTCCGAGAGGCAAATGTTGCGTGTCGAAGAAATTAATGACCTTTGAGTGAGAAGAATGCCTTCTCGGGTGAATTATCAGAAAGACATCCAGTAATTCACTCCTTTCTTCTGTGGTGTTGATCGATAGGCCATCGTAGTTATGCAGCGTTGGCTTCAGCTGTATTCTAATTACTTTGTTTATGTAGAGTTCAGCTTCTGAAAGTTTTGGAGACACGAAAAAGTGTCCTTCAAAAGGAGCAAGGAATGGCCTTTGCCAGAGCTGTTGCTGCCGGTTTCGAAATAGATAACTTGGAAACGTTGATGTCCTTTGCGGAATGCTTTGGAGCATCTCGATTGATGTAAGCCCTTATGCCTTTTGCCCATCTGCTCCCGCACTCAATTGAATGAATCAAAAACAGTATTAGCTACAAGTCACATGATATGGTCAGAATAAGTATGCAATTGTGCACTACATGGATTAACATGTTGTATTTTCTCATATGCAGCTCAAGATTGTCATCATAGCTAGGTTAGGTTGTATCCAATCTGTTGTGTATTTTGTTGTCTTTTTCTTTAAAATTTTAGTACAAATAGTTGGGACCAAAAATCAGTAAAGTTGTGTGTGTGGAGAAAAGGGGGAGGGAGGGGGGGGGGGGGGGTGGTGTGTTTGGAGTACGACGACAATTTTGGTGACATTCATACAGAGATGAATTGTGAATGATGGTAAAGATATTAATAGATAGTTGAATTCCATTTCAATTTTGCAACAGGGATGCATGCACTAAATTTATAGAGCTGTGGAAGAGAAAACATGAGAGCGGTCAATGGCTTGAAATAGAAGCAGCTGAGGCCTTGTCCAGCCAATCAGATTTTGCTGCCATGAGTGCATCAGGCATTGTGCTATCTGATGTCTCCAACAAGCAAAAGGAGGCATGGACTGACTCTCGCAATGCACCAGCATCAGAATTTAATGGTCATCCAAGTACTTCTCCAAGTGGAGGTAATTGGCTCAACATGTAGAAAAGTTTAGCATTGTTCTGGATTGTTACAGATGCTTCAATACTAAAGATTAGTTGGTTGTGGATTAAGTCCTGTCCCTGTAACTGCTGAGAAGATTAACAAGAGCAACAAGGAATGGCTGATTAGGAAAGTAATTTTGGATACTTGATTCAGTAGGACAATGAGCTTGGAAACCAATGGAAAAGCAAATTCAATTCTGCGAGACAAATTGCAGATATGATGTTATATGTCGGTCTACACGTAGGTACTCATATAGCATGTCAGACATTCATAACGATTCTGCTGCCTGAAACAGATTGACAGAATCAATTTTTCCTGTTGAAAAGTGCTCAATAAATCTTGTTCCATGCTTTGCTCTTTGTACTGTTACTATATTCTGTTCCACTCACTGAATTTTGTGTTACACGTTGCTCTCTTTACACTAAGAAAATTACTCATGCTAGATGGGAAGCCTCCGATAAATCATCAAGCACCTCACGGTGGCCATGAATATTTCCCAGCTCAATTTCCAAATGCTATGTTCCCGCCATGGCCAATGCATTCTCCACCTGGCGCACCACCTGTGTATCAACCTTATCCAATGCAGCCCATGCCTTACTATCAGAACTATCCAGCAAACGGTCCCTTCTTCCAACCAGCTTATGTACCAGTTCAGGATCCTCGATCAAGTAATGGTCGAAAACCACATCGCAGAAGGCATTCTGTTGAGAGCGGTGAACCATATTCTGAATCAGAAGCTTCAGAGGAGGATCACTCCCCAGAACTAGTTGAGTCGGAGAAGGAGGCTTCGGCACTCCGAAAGAAGACCGGTCGATCAAGTAAGAAGCAATCAGGCACGGTTGTAATTCGGAACATCAATTACATCACTCCGAAGAGACGGAACTCTTCCAATGGTGAGTCATATTCTGCTTCTGATTCCGAAAATGAAGAGGACAATGGAGAAATTGAGGCTAGCCAGAACCTGACCTGGTCGTCAAAAAGGAAAGAGAAGGATGGAAGCTCTATAAACAATTTGATTTCATCTGATAACAATGAAGCACTTTATGGGAATGAAACTGATGGTGGACACTGGCAAGCATTCCAGAGTTTCTTGTTGAGAGACAATGATGAGGAAAAACGTGCTGCTGATGATGGTATGTTTTCAATGGAAAAGGAAGTAAGGTCAAGAAGGCGGCAGACTATGAGGAATGATGATCCTTTAGCTCTTGGAGGACGATACATGGATCAATCTCAAAGGGGGAGCTTGGCGGATATGCAAAAAATGAGTGGAAAATCAAACTTCAGTACTAGAGCGTCTGCTGATGAAGCAATGATGTCTACTAAGGTCGGTCAAGGGAGTGATGGTAGAATGTCTCTTGATGGCCATTTAGATGTCCAGTACACAGAAGTGAATGGCAGAAGGGTTGCTTATAGGAGGACCGAAAATGATGATTTCATGATCCATGGACGCGAAAACATAAATGTTGTTCGTCCCTCTGATTTAGCTGAAGATGAGAATACAACCCATAATTCAAATGCAAAGTGGCCGAGTACTGTGAATGATGATTCCTACATTGTTCCTTTGAGATCTATTCCTGTTAGTGGGATTGAAGATGCTGAACGAAAGGCTTTAGACATTGATTCTGAATTCCCATCTACCAGCCAGAGGACAGAAAATGCATCCAAGCCTAATTATGAGCCTGACTATACAAGCTTGATGCCAGAACGTGGGACAGAGAGAGCATCGATCGGTTATGACCCCGCTCTAGATTATGAGATGCAGGCTCAGAAACGAGAAAATTCTAGCCAGGATAAGAATGAGAAGGAAGAACGTAAGCGGGCCTCTAAGAAGCCGGATAAGGACCAGAAGTCTAAACTTACCCGAGATGCGTTAGACAAGAAGAAGAATGTTGGACCGATAAGAAAAGGGAAGCCTTCAAAACTAAGTCCCTTGGAGGAAGCAAAAGCACGTGCCGAAAGACTAAGATCCTATAAAGCTGATCTGCAGAAAATGAAGAAGGAAAAGGTACTTAATTATTTTGGACACTTTACTGTAATTAAAATATTAATTAGGCATAATGAAACTTGCCTGTTGTTCTCACTCTAGTTCCTACTGGGCCTTCTGTCCTTGTGCATGACCTGACAACCATCATTTCAGTTGTGTTTTAATGAAACTGATTATTTTTTTTGGCTCTTCCGAGTCTTAATCAGGAGGAGGAACAAGTAAAAAGGCTGGAGGCTTTGAAGCTAGAAAGACAAAAGAGGATTGCTGCGAGGAGCAGTTCTATTCCTGCACAGCCTGCTCTTCCATCACCGCAAACAAGAAAACAACTACCAACAAAAACTTCCCCAATCTCTCATAAAGGGTCGAAGTTTAGTGATGCAGAACCAGGTTCTTCCTCTCCTCTACAGAGGTCCTCTGTCAGGGCTCTCTCTGTCAATTCCAGTGAATCTCAGAAAACTTCGAAGACAACCAGATTGAGTGCTGCCAGTAGCTCAGCTGGGAATAGGCTAAGTCGCTCAGTTTCATCGCTTCCTGCAGAAATAAAAGAGAATGCCAGTGTCACACCAGAGACAAAGGTTTCCATGGCCAGAATTAGAAGACTGTCAGAGCCTAGAACCAGCAGCCACAGTGTTTCTTCAGTGAAGCAGCGAAACACAGAATTAACGAGACAAAAGGTGTCCGATGGAACTGACAGCAAAAACTTATCTGCAATCATCAGTCTTGATAAAAGCAAGGCTGCTACTCTTCCAGAATTAAAAATAAGAACACCTAAATCGGCTGATAATTGTGGAAGCAAATCAGCCCCAAAGGATGCAGCAGCTCAGGCATCAAACAAGAACAAATCAATGTCTTCTAAAGGTGCTGAACTAAACAATGGGCATGACCCTTTTTCACATCAGAGTGAGGGCGATGACAACCCTATTATTGAAAAGACTGTCGTTATGCTGGAACCTGAGAAGCCCGCCTCTACCATGTTGCAAGCTTCACAAGAAAAAGTTCAGTTGCTTAAAGAAGATAGCGATAGTGGGAAATTAGGAGAGAAGCCAGATATCGTAACAAATGATGTTGCTTTACATCGGCCAATTGCACTAGCCGACACCAATGGACCTAATCAGAAGAACAGTGAAGTTCGTGAGGAAATCAGTAGCCATAAGGTAAATATTTGGTGAAAAAAAATTAGAATTTCCATTTGCTGGCTGTGGACGTGATCTCATACTTGCCATGGTGAGGAGAGTGAAGGTCATCAAAGATGCTCTTTTTTCGGACAAATTAATTAGAATATCCTTGTCCTTTTCTCTTTACAGGTCACAACATGCAATGAAGAAGCATCGATTAAGGTTTTGAGCCTTAGTACTGCTGAAAAACCATATCAAGCCCCTTATGCTCGGGTGTCTTCTCTGGAAGATCCGTGTATGGGAAACACGGAATACGGCAAGGCAATCCCAACATCCTACGAATTTAAGACTGTCTGTCCAGAGAGTATTAAATTCCGTATTTCTGATACAGACAACCTCAAAATAGAGAAGATGCCCGAGACAGTGGACAAACAATCTAAGGAATCAACCAAAGGGTTTAGACGGCTATTGAAATTTGGTAGGAAAGGCAGTAGTTCAACTACAAGTGGTGTTAATGAAGCTGATAATGGAAGTGTTAGTGAATCTGATGCAGATGATCATGCAACACATTCAGCTTCTTCCATCGAAGGTAACTTTTATCAATACTGAATGGGCACTATTCATATAATTGAAGTCATCTTGTGTGCATATTTCTGTAGACAAATTGTGAATATAGCATGTTTTGTAGGACTTGAATTGCTGGTCTGTGATTATGACAACTGTCAGTTTTGTTTCATATTTGCCTACTGCATTGGCTAAAGACGCGTAAAGCCATTTTGGCACAGTGATAGGAAAAGAAAAGGCAAATGAAATACAAATGCTTTCCATTGTAGAATCATAGACACTTTTCCAGTCTAGAAGGTGGCAACCATTCTTTAGCGAGCAAGTCTCTGAGACTGTTGGATGATATGAATGTGTCGTAAGCTGACGACGTAATTACTCTGGACTTAAAGTATTGAACATTTGTCTCTTGGTTTTGCCGGGCATTGCTTACATAAGGCCATAGTCTGAGTCATCCTGATCAGTCGTAATAGATAATGAGCTTGCTGGCTGCCACTATCGCATCAACTGAATGAGCTGGAGTGCCAGCTTTCACTGGCCTAGCTAGAAGCTAATGTTCTGGCTATTATAATTTTTTTTGTAGGAGAATTGCTATAGCACTAGCTAATTTTCAAGTTTTGCCTAGTAGAGTTGCTAATCTGGAAACAGTACTTTTTAGCGGAAGAGTAGTAAGCATTTAGTATGATTCTTTGAAGCTAACTATCTGTTTTTTGCTTTTCTTCTTTGCCCTGGTCAGTCTCTACACTGAAAAATCTCATTTCGCAAGATGAAACACCTACTGCAGTCAACACTCCAAAAAAATGTAAGCATATCCGGCGACGGACTTCAGTTATATTTCTTGTTTCTTGAAAGAGATCGAATTGTGCTGATATCAAGAATTCTATCGATTTGTCCACAGCTTCTCGTCATTTCTCCTTGCTGTCTCCGTTCCGTAGCAAGAACAGTGAAAAGAAGGTTACGACATAACAAGATTGTGTTTGAAGGTGGGGAAGCAGTGTATTCGTCTTCACATCTGTAACATCACTTGTGGGATCTTACATTTGTGTGATTCGCTTCGACTGTTTTCTTATCTGAAATGGGTATATAGTTGGCCGGGTGTCTTTTCATGTAAGTATGTCTGGTCGTTTTTCATGCGTGGGCATCTTTCATGCACTTTACGGATCTGAAAAATTTTACTACATATGTCTCTGATTCAGTTTGAGCTGTGATATTCAAATCTTTTTACTTAGTCATTATGAACTGTCGTGACCCTAGAGGAATTTATGGTCTGGAAGCTTAAAACTCCTTCGCCGTAGAAAGCAATGGATCTGAAAGGCGATGTACCGTTATTCTGTAAAGATAACGGTATGATCCAGTATACAAAGTAAACGCAAAAAAGTGTGATGAGTACATGAGAAAGGTATATATTTGCATGGGAAAGGAAGGCAGAATGTACATATACAATGATACCAACATAATATGAAGATGGGCTCATGCTGACGAAGAGATCTGGAGATCATCTTACGGGCCAGATCTGGCCTAGGGTTGTGTGACCCCGGCCAGGGGATGTTTGGCTCCAGTTGTCAATTGCCAAGGTCGCTTGATCCTGGCGTCGCCTGGCTGCGTTCGCCCAACCCAGTTTTGGCAGAGGTCATCCGACCTGGGCCAGATATGCTTAGGTCCTATGACCCTGCTAGGGGTTGCTGGGGATTGCGCGACCCAACCGTCAACCGCCGGGGTCGCGACCTTTGGCAATTGCCTCGCTGGGGTTGCACGATCTTGGGCGACGCCTAACGAGGGTCATTGTCCCCAGGGATCTGGCCTGGGTCGCTCGACCTTGGTCTGATCCTTTTTTTTATTTTTAAGTTTCCCTTTTTCTGTCTTTAAATATTCAATATTAATTACTTTTAAATATTTTTCGTTTTAAAATGCCACGTAAAACGTCATGTCTGCATTTAACAGCAGCCATATACTTTTGACGGGATTACCAACTCAAACAAAAAAGCATATACTTTAGCATATACTTTAGAGACAGAAGCATTAGAAGACTAAAAGACGAATGTGGTATAAGAAGACCATTGGCCATCTATTACTCAACTTCAGCATCAGATCTACCACATTACTTTATTCGATCCGCATCAGTAGGCACGACCCTAATCAGTTTGTACGTAGGACTGCATTATCGTTGACGGTTAATCTCATTTAGGGAAGCAATAGCATCCATCATTAGAAGCCGATATCGATCAAAAGAACCAGATGTATATCAGAAAAGCTGATCTGGGCATGAAATGAAATGGTTACACAATATGCTGATGAGTTCTCCAGTCTGTGCTTCTAGTTTTTGAGCCTTTTGATTGCTTAATCTAATTGAAATGATACATCATTGCTCACCAGGAGTATCACAGCCGGGCACTATCGCTCTTTGCCTTCTATCTGTAACTTCATGATGGTTGAGGTGGAAACAATAGTCGGCCCGAAAAAGTTACTCTGAGCTAAGATCAGTTCTCACATCATCAAGGAGTTTTCTTTGCAAACTCCAAATCATCTACAATTAGGATTTGACAATATTTTACAAGTCTTCGAAGCGAAGCACCAAGCAAGAAATGCTGCCTTTGCTCATCCTGGTCAAGGCCTCTTTTGCAAGGCACTCAGATGCTTCTTTTGGGCTCTCCATGTGCCTGACCAGATTCACAGCTTCTTGATTATTCATCACCTAGAGAAAACAAGAGACGCATATGAGCAAGCCTGCGAAAACAGGAAGAAGAAAATGACTAATAGCCTTGTGAATGATAACTTTCGGCATAGCAAACGGGAATACAGAGTAGAAAATTCCTTGAATTGTTTGCTGATAAAGAACATAAAAATGGTGAGGGTATTGACATTTTGTTCGACGAACTTACCTCCCATATGCCAGAGCTTGCCAGTATGATGAATTCGGTGTTTGTGTCGATCCTCTCAACGCCAATCGCGACTTTGGAGCTTTTAGACTGATTAGAGGCGTCTTCCCTGCTAGAAGTCCATGCTAACATCCGACCTGCATAGTAGAGAGGCCCCATCATGTTTCCCGGACATGAACCAAGGAAAAATTATCGAACATTAAAATGTGAGTTAAATCACACAGCACCCTCTGTGCTTTCTTCGAACCACACGAAACCATGTTCAAACATAATCTCACCCTCCTGCAAAAGACTGTTCTTTTGGTACAGACAAAAATTAAACTAATTGCGTGGAATACTGAATCTGCATCAGAAACTGGTTAATAAACACTTAGGAAACAAGGAAACAGGTGTAGATATTCGAACTGAGAAGCCACCACTTACGTTCACCAAAACTCAATCTCTCGTCTTTCTCTTATTAGCACTTAGGTGAGAACCTTATTGCCTCGAGCAATTATGCTACGTCGAGGCAATCACGTTTCGATGAATAGTGAGGCTTAGATTCGTCTAACAAATGATAAATGACTTCCGTTTACCTGGGATGATTCTTTGAGTCCAATGCCTCTCGGCTGACTGCTGGTGCTTGGTTGTGGTCTGCTTAGCCACACCATTCCTGCAAACAACTGCTCTATGGTCACCCATGTCACCCATCACAAGCTTTTCTCCATTCACGACCATCACCGACGCCAAACCCACTTTCATTACCGCCTCCCCATCCATCACCTTCTTGCTCTCCCTTATCTTAGCCCTAGCGCCGAGGTACGCTTTTCTCGTTGTTTCTTTGGCCTCCCTCACTATCTGTGACTGCAAAGATAATATTAAAACTAGCTGCAGAGTCGCAACGGCAACCAAGTCCAGAAATAACTAAATAACAGTAATGTTATCAAGATATTTCATATAGAATCACCACCATTGAATTACTAGATTGTGAAATTGGCCAAAAAAGAAACTAGAATGTGAAACTGTAGAAATGTTTAAGAGGCAAAAAAGGTAAACAATCTAAGTTACCCATAAACTAGATTTCTTATCAGTGCAAAACCAACCTTGAGAATCAGAACCTGGATCAAATATAACAAAAGTTTAAGGCTTTTCGAATGGAAAATTTGATGCTTAAGTGGATAGATTCTGCAAACAGAACTTCAAGTTGACCCCCATAGCTTGATCTTAAAGGGCAATTGACTACAAAATAAATCTTTAAAGTGACACGGTTGCTTTATAGGAGTACCTCATTTAGCTTCTTGTCAAACAAATTCGATTGCAAGTACTTGGTGACTCTATCTCCTACTTGAGCATCAAAAACCCCAAAGAGCCACAGCTCAAGCTCTTGAATTTGCTCTCTTTGAATCACAACCGAGTCCGTGTCCAAGCCCAAGCCATCCTTATTTTCGTGAACGAAATGGCCATGTGATAGTTGCATCATCCATGCAGGCTTCCTTCCCGCCTGAAATTCTTCTTCTTGCTTCCAATGTTTCCAGTCAGAAAGCGTTGAATTTGATATGCCTGAATTGATCACAATGTAGTATACTCATTCAGCTCTGAGGGGGCTATTGTCCAAATTCATTTTTCGTTTTATGCCAGAATTTTCCAATTCATTTTGCTAAACAGAGTTTTACTACATATACTAAATCTTGCTCACTTTGGGAAGTTGAATATCCGGATTGCTAATTAGAACATCTCTTCATGATATACAAGTTTTTAACTTTAATCTTCTGACAACTTTGCAAAGTAAACCTACGAAGTCCACTTTCTTTTTGGTCTTTTTTCTTTCCCGCTTGCTTCAACTTGAACACAGAAAGTGGAAGATCTTTCAGATGAAAAGGCTAAAGGGATCATAAATAAATATTCTTGAATAAAAAACGAATAATGCCAATCACCACTCACACACACACACACACACACACGCAGAGGTTTACCTTGAGCTTCAGGTGAATATCAAGAAGCCCCATGATCCCTTTTTTTCTGGAGACTCCAATGATACACATACAACCCTTGAAACTTGCAGAAAGGAAAAGGATGAATGATAAGAAGAGAGGGAGGTTTTGGAGAAGATGGGAATGTAAAAAGTGAGTTTGGAAAAACTGGAAGGAGGAGATATCAGTTTGGTCTGAAGCCAATAGAGGGCAATTGTGTGTTTAGGATGTTATTTTGGCAGTTAAATGTCAGCTTTGAATGTATCTGCTCAAGACAATTCAAATTCAACTGTCATTTTTTGTAATTATTTTTCTGCTTAGGACTCTTGTCTAATTTTGCCTTAAAATTTTGTCTATTGTTAATCCCTACTAGTATTTGTGCTAACTTATGAAGGAGAGGAATTTTACCTTTTAGGGATTTATAAAAGCTGGATTTTCCATATTTACCCACAAACAGCATTGTTCTACATATATAGGATCTGAAATTAAAATTAAAAGTTCAAAAAGGGCCACGCTTTTTCCACTCCTTTTTTAGCTTAGACGCTCTTTTTTATTTTATTTTATTTTGACAACAGTATCCTTTGTGAGATCTACCACTTATGGTATAGCTCTCCAAAAGTGATCATCTATTATTATTATTATTTGATCAACTTTTTTTCTTCTTTTATTTCTTGCGGGTCCTACTTTCCTTCTTCTTTCTTTCTTTCCTCACTTTTAACGTCTTAGTTCTCCGCTCTTGCAAATCGTTTACGCCTCTTGCTCCTTCTTCTTCTTCTTCTTCTTCTTCTTCGTCGTCTTCTTCTTCTATACATCTCATCGTCCTCTATTTTCTATCTATGATGCCAACCTCATAATCCTCCACACTTCAATTATAAAAGGAGCACTGGTTTTCTCTACCAGAAAATGTAAAAACATCATTAGAGAAAAAAACGATAACATGATAAAAACATGATTTTCAATTCTAACCAGAAATGGGTGATCAACTACAAAATTGATTAATTCTAATCAATCACTTTCGTAAAATTAGTTTTGTTGAAAATAAAATTTTCTAAGAAACCTAATTCTTTTTGCGTTGTCAAGTAAAATCTAGGAAATTTTTAACATAGACACTTCTTTAACAAGATCACTTATTTATAAACTTTCACTTATGTGTCTATCACCATCACTTTTTTACTCAACAAAACTTATTTGCACGGAAGTAAAATCCAAAACTAAAAAGGAAAACATTGTGCCTTTGAATCAGGAAAGTAAATTGATTTGGGGCCACACTTTAAATTCCAATTGAATCATTGACGATAATTTTGTCTTTTCAATGGAAAATGGAGTGGATTAATCGTATAGGGTGTGGAAATAGCACCGCCAGTTCAAAAATATTTGAAAAATTTCTAACTTTTGGGATCATACCTTTGTTTTTCTGGGAAAATTCCGAATAAGGGCTCGAAGTGACCTCATTTTCACATATTAGGGCCTGAAGTAAATCTTGTTTCAAAAAATAGCCTGAAGTGGATCTTGTTTTAAATAAGGGCCTAAAGTGGCTATATACAGTTTCAAATAATGGCGAAAATTTATGTTAAAATTATTTTTGGACGGAAATGTTCTTGATTGGCTGGAATATTTGGCCAGCCGGCGAGCTTAGGCCCTTATTTGAAACTGTTATAGCCACTTTAATCCCTTATTTGAATCAATGTCCACTTCAAGCCTTTATTTGATAAAATGAGGGCACTCCGGGCCCTTATTTGAAGTTTTTCCATGATTTTCCTACTTATCTTTGGAAAAATTTCTGCATGTCTCCACCTTCTGTAAACTATAGAGTTTTAGATCAATCATGGAACAGCCACCTAAGACATAGCGGGGTTTTCAATTGTTTCTGGTGGAGGATTAATTGTCATTAATTAAAACCGATAATTTTTGCCGGTTGTGATTTCTTTATCCACTTCTTTTCAAAGGTCTTTAATTCCCTAGGAAATTAAAAGAGTGTTGGTCAACCGAGTACTTCAATGAATCAAATCCTGGTTTTTGCAAGGCGAACCAGACTTTAAAAACTTCCTTGACCCTTTTCACGTATAACTAATGCCCTCCCTTCCTATTCTCAAATCCCCACCCCATGAGTTAACCATCCGTTTTACTAATGTTAATTCAGTTCTAAAAAATTTTATTTTGTCAATTTACCCAATTAATTTAAATTGCTCACGTGGTGATTTAGAACTCAATTAGTAAAATTAAAAATTTTAAGACGGAATTGACATCGGAATAATAAGTAAAATTGCATGATAAAGTTTCAAACTTTGGCACATTTATGGCACGCGACATGTCCTTGATTTGCCACGTGGGAATCCATAAAGATGAGTGTCCCAACTTCTTAACTAGGAGCGCGCATCGGTCTCAGTTCAACCCAAGAACCAGACCGATCGGTTCCTAATGGTTCTCGCGGAGGATCGGTCGGGTTTCCGGTTCCAAATATTTGGAACAGGACCGTTCGGACCCGCCAATACTTCTTAATTTTTATTTATTTGTTATTCCGACACAAATAGACTCTGTCCAATCCGGTTCCAGATTCCAAGTGGGAACCGACCCTGAAATCGCTCACCCACGTTTTTTCTTTATGTTTTTCGGTCGGAGATCACCCATGCTCTTAACTATACGGAATATAAAAAGCAAAGCAAAGCAAAGACCTCGTCCCTGCAAAGAAAGCGGAGGACCAATGGCTTCGCTTCCGAGCACGGTCCTCAAGGCGGCGCTCGACAACCCCCGCACCATCGCCACGAAGCCCCGCGCCGAGCAGCTCCACGCCCAGATCGTCAAGCGCAAGGGACTCTCCTCCACCTCCCTCTCCTTCATCCTCTCCGTCTACGCCGACCTCAACCTCCTCCGCGAGTCCCTCCGCGCCTTCGCCGCCCTCCCCGCCTCCCCCCCGCCGCCCTCCGCCGCCTGGAAGTCCATCATCCGGTGCTACGCGTCCCACGGCCTGTTCGCCGAGTCCCTGGCTTCTTTCGCCAGGATGCGCGCTCTGGGGAAGTGCCCGGATCACAACGTGTTCCCTTCGGTGCTGAAGTCGTGCGCCTCCTTGATGGACCCGAGGCTGGGCGAGTCGGTCCACGGGTGCGTCGTGCGGCTCGGCGTCGACTGTGACCTGTACACGGGCAATGCGCTCATGAACATGTACGCCAAGTTCCGGAGCCTGGGTGGGAATGTTGGGACCGGAGGTCTTGCGCATGAAGTGCTCGACGAAATGCCGCAACGGGGGAACCGTGATCGCGAGAGCTGTTTGAATTCTGGACCCGGGATGTGTCGGTTGAGCGCATCGGGACAAAATGGAATCGGTTCGGCGGGAAGCAGGAGGGAAGCGTGTTGTCGGAGGGATAGCGTGAGGAAAGTGTTTGATATGATGCCGAAGAGGGATGTTGTTTCCTGGAATACTGTCATTGCCGGGAATGTGCAGGATGGAATGTATGAAGAAGCTCTGGCGATGGTTAGGGAGATGGGGAATGCTGATTTGAGACCCGACTCCTTTACTCTGTCCAGTGTTCTTCCGATATTCGCGGAGCATGTAGATGTTGGTAAAGGAAAGGAGATTCATGGATATGCTGTGAGGCACGGGTTCGATTCGAACTTGTTTATCGGTAGTAGCTTGATAGACATGTATGCAAAGTGTGCTCGTGTCGCAGATTCGTATCGTGTATTCCACATGTTGCCTCAGCGTGATGGCATTTCTTGGAATTCCATTGTCGCGGCCTGCTCGCAGAATGGCATGTTTGATGAAGGTCTCAAATTCTTCCGCTTAATGCTGAAGGACGATGTGACGCCTGGTCCTATATCCTTTTCGAGTATCATTCCTGCGTGCTCTCACTTGACCTCATTACATCTGGGAAAGCAGCTCCATGGATATATCATGAGAGCCCGATTTGATGATAATGTGTACATAGCCAGCTCTCTTGTCGACATGTATGCCAAATGTGGGAAAATTGAGAAGGCTAAGTGGATTTTCAGTAATATGGAGCTGCACGACATCGTTTCATGGACTGCCATAGTAATGGGGTGTGCTTTACATGGGCACGCACTTGATGCCATCTCATTGTTTGAGAAGATGCAAATGGAGGGAGTGAAACCTACCTATGTATCATTTATTGCTGTATTGACAGCTTGTAGTCATGCAGGTCTTGTGGACGAAGCATGGAAGTACTTTAACCGTATGACTCAAGACTTTAAAATTAATCCAGGGTTAGAACATTATGCTGCCATCGCTGACCTTCTTGGTCGAGCAGGTCGGTTGGAAGAAGCTTATGATTTTATCTGCAGTATGCCTTCAGAACCACCAAGCAGCTTATGGTCCCCTTTAATGACTGCCTGTAGAGTCCACAAAAATGTTGAGTTAGCTGAAAAGGTTGCTGAGAGAATTCTTCGAGTTGATCCTGAGAGTATTGGAGCTTATGTTCAGATGTCAAATATATATTCCGCTGCCCAGAGATGGAAAGACGCCGCGAGGTGGAAACTTTCTATGAAGGAAAGGGGCTTCAGAAAGAAACCGGCTTGCAGCTGGATTGAAGTGAGGAACAGAGTCCATGCCTTCTTGTCAGGAGACACATCTCATCCCTACTATAACAAAATAAATGAAGCCCTTGAAGTTCTTTTAGAGCAAATGGAAAAGGATGGGTATAAGCCCAATACAAGTGAAGTGCTACATGATGTTGAGGAGGAGCAGAAAAAACAACTGTTGCAACACCACAGTGAAAGGCTGGCCATTGCTTTCGGCATCATAAGCACTCCTCCCGGGACAGAAATCAGAATCATAAAGAATATAAGAGTGTGTACCGACTGCCACGAAGCTATCAAGTTTATATCAAAGATAGTCGGGAGAGAATTAATTGTGAGGGATAACAGCCGCTTTCACCATTTCAAGGATGGAAAGTGCTCTTGTGGTGATTATTGGTGACATGGTGATACAAGATCAAATCTAGCGAGCAGTATTATCATAGACATATTCAACAACGAATGGATTAGACTGGGCAAGCAAGACGGTGAAATGTGGTTTTGCTGTGAGATTAGATGCCAGTGGATGACGAGTTTTTAAATCTAGTCAGAGAGAAGCTGCATCAAGTAATTAAATGATGCCCGGAAATTGCGAAATGTCTAGTCGATCATCTGATTTTGCATAGACAGACCGAAAAGGGTTGCTAGAAGGAGCAGTTCCATTCCTGATCAGTCTGCTCTTACATTACCGCAAACAAGATTTAAGACTACCAGATTGAGTACCGTCAGTGTGACTCAGTTGGAATAGGCTAATTCGTTCAGTTCAATTGTTGCCTGAAGAAATATAAGAGAACACCAGTGTGACGCTGGAGACAAAGGTATCCACATCCAGGATAAGGAGACTCTCAGAGCCTAAAATGGCCAGTTGCCGCCGTATTTCTTCAGTGAAGCCTCGAAACCCAGAATCAATGGGATGAAATGTTTCCAAGTGAACTGATAGGAAAAAAAGAATATCTGCGAACTTCAAGAACCAGGGCTGCCACTCTTCCCTAATTCAAAATCAGAACATCTAATGAACTGAGAATTATGAAAGCAAATCAGCCCCAAGAGAAGTATTACAGACAATGAATTAAGAATTAATCAGTGACCTCTACCGGTGCTGAACTAAACAATGGCGATGATTGGCTTTCCCATCAGAGTGACAGGGATGACGTCCCCATTATTGGGAACACCGTTGTTATGGTGGAATCTGAGAAGCCTGCCACTGCCCTGTTGCAAGCCTCACAAGAAAATGTTCAGGCGCTTAAAGAAGACGGTGATGGTGTTAGAACAGGAGAGATGCCAGACAAGGCAAAATGGTTGCTGTACATAAACCGTTTGAGCTAGCTGACAGCAATGGACATAATCAGATCAGAAGAAGCATATGTACAGGATCAAATGGGTAACGGCAAGGCAAAGTATTTGGTGGACAATTTTGGAATTTCTATAACTTGGCTGTAGATGGTGATGACACTCTTGTCAAGTTGAGGAAAGTGAAGGTGATGGATCACTCTCTCCTCTTGTATATCTACTCTACCAATGCACTAGTTTTAAGATCTGCTGTTCCAAGAAACTTATTAAAACATCTTTTAGCCTCCGTTCAACTTTTATATATATTGATCAGTTTGAGCAGAACACCTTCGTCCTGCTTAGAATGTCTAATCTGCACAAAAAAAATAAATTTGTTGTTTGAAAACGCTTCGAGTCTTAGTTTTTTCATTAAATTCTGCACAAGTGGGATGTCTAATGCTTAAGGAATCTATCGAATTCCTTTTCGCATTTCAGCTCGGGATGTCTAATGCCTCCCGAGGCATCGCTAGAGTTTTCTAGCCTTGATGCTGACAAAAAACCATATCAATCCATGTAGCAGAAATATGGAATATGGCGAGGCTCTCTGCGACGTCCCTGGATTTGACAACTGTCGGTCTCGAAAATATTTGAAGCCCCTGTTTTTGATTGAGATTTCCTTGGAACAGAGAAGATGCCTGAGACAGTGGGCAAACAATAAAAGGAATCATTGAAAGGGCTCACATGGCTATTAGGGGTGTGCAACGGGAACCACCCGGACCGGTCGGTTCTGGGCGGGCCTAGGGGGTGTTGGTCCAGTCCCCAGTTCCCATTTTTGGAACCGGTGGACGGTTGGTCCGGTTCCCGGTTCCATGGTGAGAACCGGACCGACCGGACCGATAGGACCGGACCGATCATTTATGCATATTTTTTAAAAATTAGCTAGTTATTTTTTTATCTTTTCAAGGAATTTATTTGTTATTACTGACTTGCCAATTTTGTGAGCCATCAAGCTGCTGCGAATGGGTTGACTTTTTTATTTTTTTTTAAATTTCTAAACAGTTACTTTACTTTCCCAATTTTCTGCCTTCTACTTACTTTCCCAATTCTTCTTCTCGGTAACCCTAACCACAGTAACTTGAGCAAAGCCAAGCCTTCCCAGGTTCCCTTTTGCCGCCTCGCCTCACGCCTTGCTCCGAGCGAGTCGCTCGACGTCAGACGCCTTTCCCTCTTGTAGCCTCGCCTCTCGCCTCGCTCGACGTCCTCTCGCGGCCTCACCTCACACCTTGATCTGAGCGAGTCGCTCGACGTCGATCGCCTTTTCCTCTTGCAGCCTTGCTCGACGTCCTCTCGCGGCCTCGCCTTAGATCTCCCTTTCCGTCTCGCGGCCTCGCCTTCCGCCTCGCGGCCTCGCCTCACGCCTCACGGCCTCGCCTCAAAGTTCCGCCAAATTCACTATGATGATGCAGTCACACGTGAGCTTCCATTTTTGTTATTTCTATGTCCCTCCAAAGTATAAATGATCGTCTTCAAATGAAGGCCTTCAAGGGTTTTTACTTGACGTTAAACCTAGAAGATTACGTCGGTGAGCTCTCTCTCTCTCTCTCTCTCTAGTGTTGTACCTTTCTTTCTAGCTGACTTGATCTGTCGTGGAATTAATTTGTGCGGTGGGGGGCTCCTGATGATTTATGCATAGTTTGGTCATCTCTTTTAATGCGTTCAAGAGTCTGAACCACCTGTGATTTTCAGGGAAATTCTTTCTGGATGAGTTTGTTCAAGTAGGCTAACAAAATATCAAGCTTCTTAGATTGTCTGTCAATCACAAAGCGAGGAACAAATCTTGTATATTTCACGAGATTCATCATTACCTCACTTGACCCTCAATCTCAAACGAACAGCCCTTTCCCGATTTCCTATAATCAGTAAGTTTTTCTCACTCAATTTGCTGAATTTGGTGGCTGAATTTGATGGCTGTTCTGGTGTGATGGCTCATTTCTATGTTTTGCTTGATTTAGGCGATCTATTTACATGTCAATGGAAGTGGATCAATCCAATGATGCTATGAATCCAATAATGGACTCACTAGAACATGAAAGTGAAGAAAACCTCGATGACATAGGTTGCCACCCACAGGTAAAGTTTGTTCCGGAAACTATAATTTGCCGCGGCACTTCATCTATGGCCAGATTGAGTGTTGAACTTCAACACTTAAATAAATGTAATTTTTGACTTCCAATGGATAGTATTGAACAATGGCAGAAGTGTGTATTGAACTTTTTGTTGATACGGTGTTCTACTCTTTTTTTTTTTTGCCTCTCTAATAACACGTGTTTAAATTAGGGGATGTATATTTTTGGAAGCCCACATGGGACATATATTTTTTTTTACAAGTATTTGATTCATTTGAAACGGACCGGACTGGTTGGTCCGGTCCGGTCCCCGGTTCCAAGACTAGTCGGTCCGGTCCACGGTCCTAAAAATTGGGAACCGGTCCTCTCGGTCCGGTTCCCGGTTCTTGGATGGGACTGGACCGGACCGGGAACCGATCACCCCTAATTGCTATGTTGAACTCTGGTTGAAGAAAGGAGTTGTTCAACTACGAGTGGTGTCAAGGAAGCTGATAAGGGCCGTTCAGCGTTTATCAAAAGATGGTTTTCAGGTACCTGATTCAACCTAGCTATTGTGAGTTTGCATACTTGTATAGAAGTTGATTAATAAGCACTTTGAACAAGGATCAAAATGTATGTCTTTAGAGCTGAGAAGGTGCTTGTGTAATATTGCTTACAAACTTTCTTTATTAGGAACTTCGTTATTATGCGTTATGAAGTACTACAGGCCCCGTTTGGTTCAGCATTTGGAATGCTCATTTGGGCTCTAAAGTCCCTTGGCCAAATGCAAATGGTGTTTGGCAATTTCTTTTACTCACTTTGGGGAGATGCAATTGCATTTGGAATGCTCCCCAAGGGACCTTTGGCCAATTCTTCACCGGAGGTGCTTTGGGAAGTTGCATTTTCGGAATGCAACTTGCACTGTTCATCGACACTGTTCATCTTCCCCAGATCGAGGTCCGGCGGTCGATGACCGCCGCCTGAGGGCTAGCCCGACCCCGGCGACCACCGCCTGGGGGTCGCGCAACCCCAACGACCGCCGCCTGGGGTCGCCGGACCTCGGGCGTCGCCTGGGTCGCGCTTGGCCTGGGTTGCGCGACCCAGGCGACGCCCGAGGTCCGGCGACCCCAAGCGGCGGTCGCCAGGGTTGCGCTGCCCCAAGCGGTGGTGGCCGGCGACCAGATCTGGCCATCGGCGGTTGGCCGGCGACCAGATCTGGCCGGCGGCGGTGGTCGCTGGTTTAGCTCCACCGGAGCTTTTTTTTTTAAAAAAAAAATTAGCAAAAGTCCTTTAGCCCAAGTTGATTTTAAAAAACACTTACCAAACACTACTTGCATTTCGAAAAACCTCTTTAGCCCAAAGGTATTTGCATTCCCCCAAAGTCGAACCAAACGGGCCTTTAGTCGCAGTATGAGAAATTGTTAGACTGAGTGGCTTCATTTGAAGAGCAACTAGTCCAGTACAATTTCCAACTTGGGCACCTTGCAAGCGGGCTAATTCCAAAAAAAAAACACAAAATTTAAGTTGGGTGACAATTTTGGCCTCAATATTTTTTTTGTTTCATAAAAAATACACCAACTTTAGGTCGAGTGACAATTCTGGCTCTAATTTATTTTTGTCTCATAAAAAATTACCAACTTTCATCATTCCCAAATCTAATCCTCCGTTAACTCTCTGCCTGAAGTCACCCTTGTTTGAGAAAAAAAATTATGATCGTGAGCTTGGCAGATCTTGTCCATGGCGTATGTCGACGGGCAATGATCTACAACTTCAGATTACAACAAAATGACGAAATTTGACTAGAGAGATTCAATCTGAAGATTTTTTTAACTTGCCGGTAAAGTAATAAAGGCCGATAAAGCGATAGAGACGAACAGTCCACGTGAATTTTTTGCTAAGGTGAAATGCTCAAGTTGGATAATCAATAATTCTAAGTCAAGGGAGACAAGATTTAAGATTTAAATGAAAGTTAGTGATTTTTAATGAAACAAAAAAAAATTGAGACAAAAATTGTCACTTGATCTAAAACTGATGCTTTTTTACGAAATAAAAATCAAGTTGGGATCAAAATTGTCATTCGACCTAAAGTTGGTGATTTTTTACGATACAAAAAAAGAATTGAAGCCAAAATTATCACTCGACCTAAAATTGAAGCTTTTTTTTTGAATTAGGGCCTTGCAAGTAGGTCTATGTATCCAAAACCACTCCAGCGATTTACCCAGGGTGGGGAGCTATTTCGAGAGTAGATAGCTCTAACAAGCGGCCGAGAGTCGCCTTTGAAATAGACTTCGTTTTGTTTCCACGCCACCTGCCATGCGTGAAGCGGTGAATTTACTAACTTCCAAACAAGCCTCTAAAAACAAGGATTTCACATGACTACCGGAATCGATTTCAGAAGACAGATGAATTTTGAGTTTCAATTCCCCTTAAAATTGCTCTGAGACCAAGGAAATGACACGAAAAGCAAAACTGTGGAGTCTGAAAAAAAATTCAGCACAATAGTAAGGAAAACGGCCACTTAGGAAGCACTTTCTTTCTTCAGCTTTGCAAGCTCTTGCCTGATCAGTGCACCTCTCTGCAGGAGAAAGATTAATGAGCACTTATCAGTATGACAACTATCTCATGTGCCTGAGCAGTGAACTTCAACAACAATATGCCAAGCAATTAAAAACTCACAATACTACCGATAGATGAAAAGAGTGACAACCCAACCGGGAATCTCACCCTCATGTAAATAATAAACACAGATTTCTTAAAATGATTCGTTTTCGGCTTATATATTGATCATATATTCTAATAGGAAGAAGATAGAGGCAATAAGGATCCTAACAAACCTTAATCTTGGCCAGCATGAGCTTGAACCTGTCAAAGTCATTCAGGGATGCTCTCCTCTTCTGAACAATGAGCTTCCTGCCCCAGGAGCTCTTCTCCCATCTGCCTTGCACATCTGGCATCATAAACAAAACTCATCACACAAAGTCCTAACAATAATAACCCAAAATAATAAACATTCACATCCTGGGGACTTTGTGATCATACCTGCTTCCTGCATGGCTGCAATGAGTGTCTTCTTCGATGGAACCCTCTTAATGTCAATCTTAATGTCAGTGAGGGAGAGCCTCTTGAAGTTCATTTGCACTCTAACCATATCAGGGGCATCAACAAGAGCCTGACAGCACACGCAAAAAACAGTTTAAGATGAATATATCCTATACAAACTGGGGAGAAAGCATTTCAATATTGGAAAGCAAGACATCTACTTTTGTAGGTGCCACAATGCCCAACAGAGAGCACGGTAGTGTCTCAGTTTGCATTTGTATCAAATGGGTAAAGAAACAAATTCACTATGTGGATCTTGTAAAATTCTTAGCTATCAAAGCAACAAATTAGCACAGACACTGAATGAATACAGTTCAATGCATCACAATAAATCTCAATCAGAGACAGATGAAACTGAAGAATCATACCGAATTAATTATGATCAATCAGCATTTTCCCACCAAATTAAACACGTGTTACCACAACTTATTTCAACCTGGAAAAACACTGGATGCTACGAAAGCCAAAAGAATGCATCTGAAATATAATAATCTTGAATTGCAATCAAGCATTCCACACACAATATTGATATCATGGTTTAATATCAAAAAGTCATCTTGAAATAGTGAAAACAAATTATATTAGCAAGCCAACCAGAGTCACTAAAAATAATACCACGACCAGAAAGTAGAACCCTCCTAATGAAAATTTTTATGTGCTCATCTCTTCACCTTCCCTGATCCAGATTTCTCATGAATTTTAAGACGCACAAAAGATGCCGGCAAATTAATGTAATTCGATCCCCAACTCAATCACACTGATTTTTCTCTCAATTGGTAGGTTAATAATATTGTAATGAACATAACAAATGCCTGCAACCCACAGCTCATAATGTGCTAATTAGGAACGTAAACTACAAAGCTCGATCTTGCTTCATACACGCATCTGGAACATTGTACACTAGAAAAATTGCATCTCACGCCGACAGCTAAGATGGCTATCGATTGACCACAGCATGTGGGTCACTCTGCCAGCAATGTGAAAGAGCTTACAAAATCTCGGACAACCCAAGAAACAGCCATTTCTCAGTAACCAATCTACCAGCGCAGCATCACCGTACACACGATCTCCCACAAGAACCGACACTTGAACCTCCCCCAAAGGAGCACTAGCCAGTCATCAACCGATCAGATCACGGCGGAACAACCCGGAATTTCAAGCTCGCGACGAGAAAGAAAGAGAAGGAGGGGGGTGGCAGGCATACCCGGTTCTGGTCGACGACATCGACGATGACGACGAGCTTGCCGTACTCCTTGCCGTAGTTGATGAGGGCGACCCGTCCGATCTCCACGTGCCTCTTGAAAGGCTGCAAAGCATCACCACATTTCGAATCACCACCGAAGCTTGAATCAGCTCCAAACCTCGTCGAGAAGGGGGAAGAAAGGAAGCGAAAGAGATCAGATGACCCACCATTGTCGCCGGCGATGGATGCAGGAGACGGCGTGAGAGAGAGAGAGGGAGAGGTGCAGCGGGGGCAGAGGACGATGGCGAGAGATCAGAGGAGGAGGGGTTTAGGGTTTCGGGATTTTATAGGTGGCTTCTGATTTTGATCTGGGCCGTCCGAGCTGATGGGCTTGTTCGTGATCTTGTGGGCTGGGCTTTGCTCTGTTCTCCTGAGGAATTTTTTTTTGTTGGGGTTCATACTTAGGGCTGGGCCGGTCCTCTTTTCCCCCCTTTTTGTCATTTCACTACAGGAAATTTCTTTTCCTATTTCACATTCTCCACAAATGATATGTGAACTTTGGCTCGATGTGCAATATCGCCACTGAACTTTTGATTTGCTCGATATGGTTCTTGAACTTTAGCCCAATATGCAATGTTGTCCCTGAACTTTTGGTATATGTTTAATTTAGTCCATGGATTATATGAAAATGTTTAATGTTGCCCTTGAACTCGATTTAATGGAAGGAAAACATTAAACATTTTCATGTAGTTTAGGGATTACATTAAACATACACAAAAAGTTTAAGGACTACATTAAACAGATCAAAAATTCAAGGACCACATTGCATATTGAGCTAAAGTTCATAAACCATATTGAACAAATTAAAAGTTCATGGACTACATTGCATACTGAACTAAACTTCATGGACTATTTATGTCCTTATCCCTTAAGTTTTTTGTCTCCCCTTTTGTTTCTAAATTAAGGTATCTAAGACTCTTTGATCACTTGATAAATCCGGAGTACTAGGTGCCACGATCTCTAAGTCTTACACACATCAAATAATTACTAGAGCACAAAGGTTGGCCCATCGGCCATGAGCAAAGAAGACACGCGTGCTACTAAGCAACCTCTTTAGGGTTCTTTTTGTTTCTTCTAGTGATTGATGACAAGAGAAGCAAGTGGAGAAATTTAACCCTTCTTTTTTCATGAGAATGTGGATTCGGACATAAGGTTTTTCTGAAGCGGCTTCATAGAAAATCACGAGAAAGTAAGGTTTGATGACATAATAACGGGAAATCAGTTAGGGGGCTTTAACTTGATAGGATATGAATCATATGATTGACTCTCATTAACTTTATTCTTTGGGCATACAGCATGGCTTTGGAAAAAGGGTTGCCTAAAGTTAAGCAGCATATGTCAATTCTTGCTTGGGACAACACGTGGGCTTCTTTTGGACGTGACTGTTACACTTCTTAGACACAGTTTCGGAATATAGATTGTCCTACCCTTCTGGTAAAGGGACTGGGGGCGGGACGTTAGAATCACAAATGCGGGTTCGACTTTTGTGCTCTGTCTTGCAGAGTAAAAGTTAGAAGGTGAGGAGAGTTAGATATAGGACCGACCAAAAAAATAAATTTTCCTACAATCAAACTGATCAACAATATCATTGAACAAAACATCATGAACTCGAGAGCTCTAACCCTAATATAGAGATGAACACGTGCATGCATCATTATGTTAAAAACTTGGGGAAAAATACCTAAAAAATCATACACCTATCACATCGGTATCAATTCAATTCTAAATCTTTCAATTGCAAAATTACCAAAAAAATTATAAACCTTTTGCATTTGTACCAATTGAGTCTATCTAGCCAATTTTGATTAGAATTCACTGACATGGATGCCGGCTATCCTACTTGGCACCATCGACGCCGACGTGAAATTTTTTTTTATAATTTCTCAAATTTTTTACTAATTTTTCTCTTTTCCTTCTTTTTTTTGACCACAAAAAACCTCAAACTGGTATGCCTGTGACAATTTTACCCTAAACTAATTTTTTAATATTATTTTTTACTTTTTCGAATTTTTTTAATTTTTTTAATTTTTTTCTTTTCTTTTTCCTTTCCTTTTCTTTTTTTTTTTCCTTCATCTTCTTTATCTTCAACCTATGGCCGGCGAGGTCGGCCTCGCCGGTAGCTGGCGAGGCCGCCCTTGCCGGCAACTGGCGAGGTTGGCCTTGCCCACCCCTGGTGAGGTTCGACCTTGCCAGTTGCCGGCGAGGGGTCGTCCTCGCCGTCGCTGGCGAGGCTCGGCCCCGCCGGCAACTGGCGAGGTCGGCCTCGCCCAGAAGCAGCGAGGTTGAGCCTCGCCAGCGACGGCGAGGACGACCCCTCGCCGGTTGCCGGCAAGGTCGGCCTTGCCCACCCCTGGCGAGGTTCGACCTCGCCAGTTGCCGGCAAGGGGTCATCCTCGCCGTCGCTGGCGAGGCTCAGCCTCGCCAGCTACCGGCAAAGCCGACCTCGCCGGCTATAGGTTGAAAATAAGAAGATAAAGGAAAAAAAAAAGGAAAGGAAAAAGAAAAAATAAAAAAATTTGAAAAAGTAAAAAATAATATTAAAAAATTAGTTCGGGGTAAAATTGTCACAGGTGTACCAGTTTGGGGTTTTTGGTGATCAAAAAAATAGTTCGGGGTAAAATTGTCACAGGTGTACCAGTTTAGGATTTTTTGTGGTCAAAAAAATAATTTGGGGTAAATTTGTCACAAGTGTACCAGTTTAGGGTTTTTTGTGGTATTAACTATTTTACTATTGAGGGTCGGCAAGGAGCCACCGACCACTGGTTGAGGCCTAGTGGCCCTCGCCAACCACTGGGTGAGGGCTTGCAAGCCCTTGCCGACAGCTAGAGAGGGCTCGTGGCTCTCACTCATAGCTGGGCAAGGGCTCGTGGCCCACGCTAGTCGAGTGAGGACAATGAGCCCTTGCTGGTCCTTAATAGTAAAAAAAAGAAACGAACAAAAAGAGAAGAAAAAAAAAGAAAAAGGATAGAGAAAAGAAAATAATAATAATTTTTTAAAAAAAATTATAAAAAAAATGGCAACATCAACGCCAGCTATGCCACGTAGGATGGCTTGGTGTCCACATTAGCAATTTCCGGCCTAAATTGACCGAATTGACTCAATTGGTACTAATGGAAATTGTTTAATATTAAATTGGTCCAATTAAAAGATTTAAGACTGGATTGATACCAATCCAATAAGTTTATAACTTTTTTGATAGTTATCCCTAAAAACTTGAAGCGGATAGAGTGCGGTTTACATTACATGTTATAACTTGGGTGTAAGATGATTAAACTAGTAAGTGGCCAAAGAATCCCGGTATGGTTATGTTGGATAATCAAGATAATATGGCACCTTAAACACAATTGGACGGCACCGGAGATCGAAGGGTTCTGAATGGCTCCGAGAAAGGGACGATAACGCGTGTCATGGACTCGATATGAAGGCGAACTAATGCAGCTTGAGAACAGGTAGCCACCAGGCACAAGAGCAAGGATTGAAGTTGCAGGAAAAACATGTATATAAAATGCTGAAAAAAGTCAAAGGCCGAAAATCAAATGCAGCAAAGTAGCAAATCTCATTCAAATTTCACCGTGTGCCACCGTTCTTTGCCCTCTATTAACTATTCATTTTCTGCTGGATCTTTTTAGGCGCCAACTGCCATCCACTGTATTTAGTTAAATTGAATTCAAGCTTGCTTCTTGTCACATATTACGAGAGAGAGAGAGAGAGAGAGAGAGAGACAGATTTGCATGTTGCAATGTCAACTGTCAGTTATGTTGCTGGCAATGTCATATGTTGAGTTAGAATCAAAGTTCCCTACAATGACGCCATGCAATGCAGTCCACATTTATAGCAAGTCTACTTACGAGAAGCCCGAGCAACCACAAAAATCCAACAAAAAAAGAAGAAAAAGAAAACCTTAGAAAACACAAAAGACACAGCAAGCAGAATCTGAATCACAAAAGGAACATCAACCCCATTTTATTTCTTCCCCCACGAAATTGGATTGTTATCACCTTCAGGTCATTGCTGATCAATCGATTCATATCAATCAGTCGCTTTCGTCAGAGCAAGCCTTTCAACGTCAAGCTAATACGTTATTGTTGAATCCGACGAACCAGGTATGAGCATTAGATTTGCATGCATGGTGTGTGATTATCTTGTAATGTTATATGCGCCATATTGGTCTTGCATTAAAAAAAATTTCTTCCAATGTACAAATAATAGAGAGTTCACGTGTATGCCAGAAATACTTTTCTGCTCGAGTACTTGCTTAATATTGAAGCTGCATGATTTAGATCAATAAATTGATTATCTGCATCACTTCTAAAAAGATCAAAAGAAGAAGAAGAGCTATCTGCATTGCATTTGATTTCCTGTAGTGTTGTAGGGATATTGTACGTGAGACTCGTGTTTTGAATGAGCTAATAACATTCAAGAACACGATGAGTTTTCACTTGTTCGTTTCCATCTCTTACATGCGACTCTGTATACGGTATACGCCATTTCCAATTGCCAGGTTGCTGCGTAACCCGGATACATATCATTGTCGAATAAACCTGAAAGAATGTTTTATACTAGAGGGCTTATATTTTTTGAATAATTATGCTTTTTTTTTGTTTATTCTATGCTACTCAGTTATATGCACTGATATGGAGGGAACTGCATTTACCCGTCCTTTGGAAGAATTGAAGCATGTCAAGTCCAAAGAAGGAGAAATACTAACCAAACCCTTCATTGATGTTTGCAAAATGATATTGCCTCTTATCGGTGTGTGCAGCTCTTCACTTAATTATTTATTTATTTAAGCTGAGTTTATATGCCTCTTTAGTAAATGAATGTTGGATGAAGGTGTAATTAATGGCACTATTTAATTTCCTTTTAGCTGATTTAGGTCCTTACTTTTCTTTTCGATTTTACCCTGTTCTTGTTCTCGGAGTTTGAAGGACAAGCAGATAGCTCTGTAAATAATCAGATTAGAATATTCGCTCCACTACTCAATGGAACAAAGATTTCCCATAAAGATTATATAATTTTCCTGTCAAGAATCAAGAGCAATTTCATGAAACTACAAGCTTTTGAGAAATTTCAATCTTAAGAAGGTCAAATGGTTCTTCTGAGAATTGGTGAACTCCATGACCCTGTAATGCTCGTTTGGTTCCTCTAAGTACTATCATTGGTCAACCGCTTTCGATGAAATTACCCTTGATTTGCTAGGAGCATGAGTTTGGATTTAACAGTGGAAATTCACATATTTTAGCTCATTAAGTCTTAGCAAATCACATTTGTTCCTGTTCTAATCTTGTGCTTTTAATGCTAGACAAGTTTGGGGCTGCTATGGCCGCAGTGAAATCCGATGTTGGCGGAAATCTCTCGGTAAGACGACATGTCAATTATTTTGGGAGCAATAACTTCCATGTCTTATAAAACAACCCACTCAAGTATACAAACCTTTTTTTTTCCTGATTTATGAGATATGACCATTTTCCTTGTAGAGAATGGAGCAGAAATATAGGTCGAGTCCTTCTGAATTCAACCTTTTGTACAGCATGGTATGTGCAGAAGTTGCATCCAAAACAGCAAAATCATCCTATAGTTGCACCAACGCGCTTCTTTGGTTGACGAGGTATGCGAAAGTCAGGACAAAGAAAAATTTGTTGGAATTATATGCCTTTGGAGATCACACAGATTTTAATGAACCTCATGAATGAACATGACTTTAATTTTTCCAGTTCTCCTGTACATGATCACTGATCAATAAAAAATTGAAGCAATTCTTGCTTAAGTCCATGCGTGCCTGAATGCTTTCAGGGCCATGGATTTTTTGGTGGAACTGTTTCACGACCTGCTCGATCATCCGGATTGGTCGATGTCGCAGGCCTGCAATCATGCCTATGGGAAGACTCTGAAGAAATGGCATGGCTGGCTTGCTACTTCAAGTTTCTCTGTAATGCTTCTTGTACCGACAATTCTCCATTAATATAATCTGAGGATTTGATGATTAAACGTGAATTTATAAGTCTATCTGTTGGAGAATCTAATGTTGTAATTGCTTGGGAGTGACAGGTTGCAATGAAGCTTGTTCCAGACAGGAAAAAGTTCCTGGAAGTGGTTGGCGGATCTGGTGATCTCACTGCTGACATGAGGTCGTTTTGTGAGAAGTATGGTCCACTTCTTCAGGAAAATCACAAGTTCTTGGTGAGAACATCTTTTACAACATACTGCAAAAGCCATATTTAGTCAATGGTGATCTAATTTTGCTACTTTATATCGATATTCGACTTCTATTATTACAGTTGAGAATTGAAGAAAATAATACCTGAATGTCGATATTATATGAAGGGAAGACAGTGGGTTCAAGATTCGCAGTTGTGTGTTCTGATATCTTTTTTTCCCTCTCATAGTTTTTTATGCAAGAAGACTTGTTTCACTCCCCTCTCATTTCAGAAGATAAAAGGCTAACGAACAATTACGAAGCCATTATTAAGTCAAGAGTTTGATGATTTGGTTATAACGCTCATTTTTCATCTTCTCATAGTGACACATTCTTGAACTTCAGAATTTAAGTATTATTAGACTACTGGTACTTCATGACTTAATACGATATTCGATTTAATTTCAGATTGCCCACAAAAATAAATTGTTTGGTCTCTCGATTACTTTCTTCATATGCTCCTAATTGAATTCTTCGATGCAGGCAAGTGTTGGTCTAGATAATATGAAAGGCACTTGATTGGAGAGCTTCAAATGGTGACCCTGCTCAAACTCTTCCTCATCTTTTCTTGTTTGAATTAGACGTGTGACCATCCAATATATTGCGAAGATACATTTTCTAGGGATTAAGCATATCTTTCGTTCCTTGTTAACCCTTTTCGGGGGTTAAAGTTCATTTTCTTAGCATCTGGCCATTCGAAACCTCTCGGTGCACTCGAGTCATCCACACTCTCCAGTGAGCATTGGCATGTTAAAGCGGAAAAAGAGCCACTTTACTTTGCATCAGATATGAAATTTACGTACAGAACTCAGTCCCATGATGTGCTGTTCGAGTTGCCACTTTCACGGTTGTTTTGTGCGAGCAATGAATAGAGAGACTCCTCTTACAATCGTCGCTCGGTAAATGGTCTTAATGCTCTCATCGCCCGCCCATCTCTGTGCATGGATCACGAAGGCGTCTGTGAATCCGTGATTGTGTAGGCACAAGTGTCCACTTTCACGTTCCTTGTTGACCCTTTTTCGGGGGTTAAAGTTCATTTCTCAACATTGGCCTTTCTAAAACCTCTCGGTGCGTGCCCACCGGCGCGCGGATGCACGTGCACGTGCTCACTTTCCAGTGAGCATTGGCATGTTAAAGTGGAAAGAGAACAACGTTGCATCAGATATCAAATTTACATACAAAATTTCCTTGCTTCAACAGGGAGATCACAAATGCTGCGTATTATTCTGCATTTACAAATGAACAAAGGAAAAAAAAAAAGGAACCAAAATGAACAAGAACAGCACGAGTTGGAAGATTCAAGATATCACGAATACTCTGAGCTCGGCTCTGTCTCCTCTAGTTATACGCACATCAGAATCAAGATATGTCACTTCAAATTCGCCGCTTCCTGTACTCGGAGGCCTTAGTGCATCTGGTAACCTAGGTATCTCTAACGGTGGGAGTTGTGATAAGTTCCCCGTCGTCTTTACCGTCGTTTTCTCGAATGTTATCTTGATCTTTGCAGATCCTATAGAGGACAAGTTACCGGTTGATTAGGAAAAGTGTTTTGCTTATAGGCAGGTGATTCTAACCTGGGAACTGCAATACTGGAAATAAAATGCGAGTTGAAGCAGAAACAAACCAATGAGTTCGAATTTGTGGGCAAGCGTGGCAGTTACTTCAATGGGAGGGAGAGGCCATGGTGCACCTAACTCGAGCTCCACTATGTTATCGAAATCTTTGCTCAAGACATCAATCCGTTGGAAGACCTGAAGAAATTCCAGGAGAGAAGAAACATGATGGATGAGTAGATGGAACAAGATGTTAAAGTGGGAAGTACAAAAAGTTAAGTCAGAATGAGTTACATAATGAGTGATGAAATCATATTTCCAACGAGAATCAGGAATTAGATAGAATAATTTACAATGCCCAGATTTCTACTCTCCGTTTAACATAATATTTGACAACGAAACTGTTTGCAAAAGGGAAAATGTATCTCATAAGGTGCTCAATATACAGCTTATTGCTATTGCATTTGAAGAAATGCAATGACAAAGCCAACATCAACCTCGAAGTTGTGAAAACAATTTACCGGCTAAAACAGACATATGCCGAAGTCAGGCAAAAGAACTCATGGAAAACGAGTGCAGTACACCTGATTAAGAGTTATGGGAAGGAGCCTTCCAGTGGGAGGTCCAGGACGGCTGCCGCCTAGAGTACGAGACGAGAATGCACTGCTATATATCAGCTTCCATCGACCCTGAAGCTTATCAAGATCAGCCGAAAGGTCCACAAGTCCTCCAACATCTTCAACCTCTTTCGCAGCAGCCTCTGCCTTCTGTAGATCTTCTTCGCTCGCAGCGAGCCCTCTATTCAGACCAGAGACAGCACTCTGCGATTGTCAGGAAATGTTGTGCTTCAACGATAGAAATTTTTTTTTGACACATTAAATTGGACATAGAGGGTTTAAAGCTAATCACGTCGACTCCCTATGCATGTCAGCTTCTTTTGGCATCAACCATTCAAAACCTACATAAATTGATAGGAGAGAGGGACTAAATGATAATTGCAAAGAAATATTATACTCAACAACAATGTGGACTAATTTCCCATAGCTTAAAACATTTGGGGATTTGTGAACTCATTGGTGACAGCTTGAGCTTTTGGACAAAATATTATCTATGCCTATCAAGCTTCTTAAAAGCTCCAAAGTGAATTGTTGTTACTGTCTTTTGTCTATGACCATATTAACTATTTCAAGGCTAAGTACGACAACGGAGAGAATCAAATCAGTCCATCTGTAGAAGATTTTGTTGTTGTGAAATCTAGAAGATGGCCGATGATCCTGCAAGTACTCTGGTCACAGGCTAACCACATGAACTCCCTTTCATTTGCCATTTGGTAAATTTCAGAACTTGGCCAAGCCCAGAAAATTTAAACTGGAACTTCCGCCTGATTTCCCAGAAAGTGATGAATTTGATGTGTAAACTGGTTTTCTTTCTGAATTGAGGATGGAGGGTCCACATAGCACGCGGAAACGAAAGTCTATAGATTTCTCGAAGATAGCCAAGAATGTTCGGTTCAACTTCCTATGAAAGATTACCTTAAATAATGTTTGTGGTTCAACGAAGACAGTTAAGAAGCAAACACCCGACATTTGTTTTGATGGAGACAACGTAAAGCTCAGGTTCGAGACAAAAACCCAGGATACAACGATTGAATACGCTCATCATACGCCGAGTTATGATCAATCCAAACAGTTACTTCACCAGACCCTTCAATGACTATCTAAACCAAAGAGAAAGGAATCACTGTTCTTGAGCGCACGGCGTAACTGGAAGGGCGAAATTCCTGCAGCAGCAATTCAAACACATTCAAATTCAAACAGGTACCAGAACCACTCACCAGCAATTTCAGCTTGAGAGAAACAGCAAGAAGCCCCGACTCCGGGGGCGGCGGCGGGTCGAGAACAGAGACCTCATCAAGACCCGACCGCGTCGCGAGGCCCCACTTCGTCACACCATCGAAACTCAGAGAGCGGCGACGGCGTGCGTCGCGTTTCCGGCGGCGGTTCAGAGCACTCGGGAGAGCGCGGGAGGAAGACGACGGAGGGGAGCGAGGGAACGAAGATGGGTTCGGAAGCAGGAGGCAAGATCTCGAAGAAGCCATGGCTGGCTTCTTCTTCCTGCACTTGGAACTGCCCTTGTCGCTTTCTCGAGGGACACGATATGAGATTCCGCGAGAGGAAGACGAAAGAAACAAACGTAGAAACAGAGAGAAACAGAGAGAGAGAGTTGATTTTGATGGTGCTGTGTTTGTGGCAGAACGCAAGCCAATCACTTTTCTTTTTCTCTTTTTATCTATTTTTTGTAATTTCCCTTTCGAAAACTCGAAACTCGAGAAAATCTAAAAAAAAATGTTGGTGAAAAATAATATGCACTAATATAAATACATGTTTGGAGAGGTCTTGAGTGCTTTGCTTGAATGAAGATTCAATTGTAAGAACCGCAATAGTTGCAAAGAGGTGAGAAAGAGAGAAGCCATGATGAACAAACCTAGCTCCTCTCTAAACCATAGTAGTACTTTATGATTAATTTGACACTACAAAAGGCACAAAAGCGATTCATTTAAATCTATTTGAGACCGACCCGTTCGCGCCTTAGTCTAGAACGAGAATGGGTTGATATCGATGTAGATTAATAATACGCACAGTTGAAAAAAAAAGTGTATTAAATCTTGTTCACAAAACAATATTGACATGTGATTGTTCATTAATTGAATGAGTCTCTCCGACGCGTCTAGGGTCCTATTTCGTCAAGCAAACATGGAAGAGATGTCGAATGTCATATTTATTATTATCTTAGTGAAGATTTGTTTGTAACAATGTAATAGCTCAAGATATATGGATTCGGCATTGCAATGCGAAAGCCGTAAATCGAACAAGGCTTCCCTAGCCCAAGGCCAAGCATGTTTTCCTTAATTTTTGTTCGGCATAAGGCCCGTAAACACTCCAAAGCGCCAATCCTTTTTTCACCCCTTGAAGAACACATTGCCCGTATAAGGATCCTATTTCATGAATCCGCCAACTAAGATCAACTTCTCATAAGATAGACACGAGCCGAGCCTATCCAATGATCACCGCATCTACCTTTTTCTAACCGAAATTGCCTCAACCGAGATCTCTCGACGGGCTTGCTTAGATACCCTCGGATCACCGATTTGCAAGCATAAGCATTCACATGTGGATAAGTTGTGTACCCTGCCCACAAAATCAGCAAGAATCAGAGCATGGAAACCCACTTGACTTCCAGAAAAAGGAAAAGACAGCCAAATCAGTGTGACAAACTATCATCACTCCAAGGCCAAATGCATATTCTCATTTCATCAGACCAATTAATGCAAAGCTTCGACCGAAAATAAGTCAGTCGAAACCCACTTCATTTTTTCCCACTCTTTGTCCCAGAAATTTCTCATACGGATCCGGATCCGCCGACCCCTTCCTCTGGGACAAGGATGGTGAAAGCAGGAAGCGTGAACCGCTTCATCAGTCGAAGTCCCTATTTATCAGCAGAGACTGTACTAATAGCGAGGAGTAGCAAAACTCTTCTCTAATCTTCTTTATTCCACAGTCTATTCAAAAGCAAACTTTGAAAATTGAAAAATAAATCATATCATATAAGCATTGGCAGAGCTCTGTTTACTCCAATCGGATAAACCCGAGAATGACAGATTTTAACTGTCCAAAAAATGGTCAAGAACAACAATGTATTCCCTCAACTAGCTAAGGCTTTTAACTGCCTTCTCAGCCGCATCGTCTAGGTCTTCTGCTGTGATCAAAGTCATCCCGCTCTCCTACAAATCATCCACAAACAGGATCCAAAATCAAATCACCATATCCTCCATTTACAGAAGAAGAAAACGAGGTAGAGAAATCATACTTCACTCCATGGTGGTGCAAGGCATTGAAAGCAAACAAAGTGAAAACATATACCTTTAGTATTCTCTTTCCCTGGTCCACATTTGTGCCTTCCAGGCGAACCACCACTGGTACTTTCAAGGAAACCTGGCAACAAACAAAAAGCAGAAGCAAAGATCTCAGCACTTTCGAATATCATATCATGCAATAAAATGCTAAAACAGTTAAATTAGCACCACACGGTCTTCATATTTGGATTGGAATCTCCACAAGTGACTTCAAATGAGATCTTCAGGTACATTTCTATTTATTGGCCGGATTTAACCGCACTAATCCAATAGGCAGATATGCTAGTCCTAAAGAAAGTGCCATGCTGACTAGGCACGACAACCCGTAAGCTGTTACTTTCCTTCTAATTTAAAGAATACAAAATAGCATCATCATGGTGAAGTTCTTATCAAAGGGTAGGTTTCTTTTCCCCTCTCCTGGGCAACGAAACGGAAATGTGGGTTGCTCTGAGATGGATGTGAAAACTAAAATCTTGGTATAGAACCATTTTGCATACCAATGACCACTTTAACTTCTCAAAGGCGTCGTGCTATTCAAGTGTGTTGTTTGAAAATCATAAACACTGAACTAAGAAACTATAAGCAGAACCACAAAGTATGCAAAATAATAAAATATAAGCCTACAAATAGTCAGTGCGTCAAACATTGCACTTCTGACCTGTTTGGCTGCATTGACAATTCCACTTGCAATGACATCGCACTTCATGATACCTCCAAATATATTGACCAAGATGGCCTTGACCTTCTCATCAGATGTCAATATCTTAAATGCTTCCACCACCTACTCAATAATAAAAGTAGGAGAGAACAAACGATAATTCAGAGAAACTATTATGGGAAAATTCAAAAGAGAGACTTTAACAGGAAAAATTGCAAGTTAAAAGCTGCAAAGCAACTCCAATTAACTGGAGCACCTAACATGGCTAAGGAAAGGAGCAAAATGCATGATAATGAACATCAACATGAGCAACCAAATATATTTAGCCTATGCAGGGTCTATGTGGAGTAGTTCGCTCTAATATTAATTACAGATATAGATCACAGCAATGAAAAGAAATCATATTGATATTCATTGTTCATCGAAGCAAGAATGACGGAATGAACCCTGAACGGAACCAAAATAGTAGAGTCTAAACGGAAACCCAAATGCTCAAATACGCGGTGCAGTCGTACAAGATGGAAAAGAAAAGCAGAAACAGTGTGCTGCTTCAAAGTTATTACAAATAATTGAATGGTTGTTCTACTTGCAGGAGGGTCTAACATGATGATTATCTATATTCACAGTTCATCAATTAAGAATGAATTGATAAACCAGGAGACAAAATGGCACAGCCTAAAGAAAAACCCAAAGGCTCCAATAAAGTGTGCACTTACTTTGTAAGAGATGCAAAACAAAAGCAGTAACACCCTGCTGCTTCAAAATTAATATGAGTTAATGAATGGTGTTCTACTTGCAGAGGGATCTAAGATTAATCATTATTGGAAAGGCTGTCTTCATATGCTATCACACAAAAAACTGAATCAGTGGTTCAACATATCCTGTGCATGAGGAATGCTGTCCTTACAGGCTGGCTGTCCAGATAATAGAACTTCTGAAGATGCAGTTTATTACCTGGCTCTCTGAAGCATTTCCACCAACATCCAAGAAGTTGGCAGGAGTTCCACCATGCAACTTAATAATGTCCATAGTAGCCATTGCCAATCCTGCACCATTCACCATGCAACCAATCTCTCCATCCAGACCAATATAGTTCAAATCTGCTTTTGCAGCAGCAACCTACAAAAGCGCCAAGAAATTAAAAGAAACCAAATCTCATGAATGGAACTCCCTTATTCAAACTTAGTGTTATTTCTAACTAGCAGAAGACCCGTGAGGAATTAAATTGCGTGCATTAACTAGCTGAATAAGTTGAATAGGTAAGCACTAAATAGTAGAAAAGTAATACTAACTGCAAAATCTTAAGCAATAATGATCTCTTGTGGTCACGCCAAATTGTGCCGCCACATTAATGCACTACCCACTCTATTTGGATTATGAATTTTCCTTCTGTCTCCCAACTAACCAGATTTACACCCATTTTCCATATCAATCCAATGAGCTTATTCTCAAAGCGATTACTTCAGATTTATAAACGATAAGAGTCAGTCAAGCAGATATTTAAGCCAGATGTCATGGAACAAGAGTTTGCGAATGCATCAATAGCTCCAAGCAATAGGATAAAAAAGTGTAATGCCAGTGGTAGAATATAGATTAAAGTCAAACCTCTCGAGGGTCTTCTTGAGTGGGATCACGGAGAGCAAAAATCTCCTTCTGACGGTATGCAGCATTGTCGTCAAAGTTCAATTTTGCATCAGCAGCAACCAATTGGCTATCAGAAGTCTCTGCAAGGGGATTAATCTGTAAAACGAAAATAAATTCATGAAGTACCAAATGTACCAATGGTAAAGGTTCTCCCCCTCCCCAAACACAACACCACCCCGCCCCCCCCAAAAAAAAAAAACCCCAAACAATAAACTCCAAAACAAAAAAAGAAAGAATGTACACTTTTTTTTATCTTTTAATAAGTGGAGAGTATGATTAGTTTCAACCACAGAAAAGAAAGAGAAGAATATGCATACCTCTAACAACGTACAGTCGCACGCACAGAAAAGCTGATACAATTTTTTCACTTGGTCAATAGCTGCATTTTTATCTGCAGCCTTTAAGGCTAAACCATCGACCACCTTGGCAGCATCTTCATCGGTGATTCCTTGGAAGACATCAATTGGTACCTATATGAAAGAACAAGTCCCATAAGAAGAGGACAAATGAAGCAGATGGAAACGCTGACATATATCTATGAAGAATAGGAAAGTAAACCTTTATTATCATGTCCGGATATTTCTCAGCAAGATCTTCAATGCTGGTTCCTCCCTTACTGCAGGCGATTATAATCTGCAAAGTAAAGTGTGAGTAAGCTATAAATGCACGAATAGAGGAAGCAAATCATCCTCAACAAACTCACAAAGGAAGATATGCAGTAAATGCATGAGAGCAGTAAAATAGAAAAAAAAGAAATATAATTTTCTCATCCAGGGAAAACTAAAGCCACACAAGAGGACCTGGCTGCACGATCTTGCAGCTTCTTAGCCTCAAATGACAGCCTCGGAAAATGTACAGCAAACCAAACATTCACATAGAAGTTTAAACCGGAACTTTGAGGTGAACACCATTGTACCATATCATCAAACAACAGCCAAGCTTTGACATTAAATGCGGTCGGTTCCGTGGATTAAAGCAATATTCTATTTTTTGCCAACAAAAAATATCATAAATACAAAAGTATCTTCGATACACAGACGCAATCAAACAAGTAAGCATATGCAAATAAAAAAAAAACTGTGCATACATGCATAAACAATTGTCTGAATGTATGTGAAACTAAATTTTCTCCTATATACAGTTCACAATGTAAGTACGCGGGCTTCTATAACATCCCCAACTTTCTCCTTTTTATCCATAGAAACCTCCCTTTCCTATTTTTTTTATATTTTTCAAAATTTCGTTACTATTTCATCTTTCCTAAAAGATGCCTTTATCTTTTTAATGCCACATGCATAGCATGCAACTATTTTTTCCTTCGCATATATCTATTCTTTTTACCTCCTCTTTATTTGCCCCCATCAAAACTATCACTACACTACCTGATCTCAAGATAATCGTCACCTGGGAGAAGGTTGTTGCCATATCACTTGACGTCACTCATAAAGGTAACAAAGTCAACTAGATCACCTGGTGCTCGAAATCAGACAAGTCAACTATGGTATGTCTTCAACCAAAAAACCAAAAAACCAAAAAAACTATGGTATGTCTGAATTTTATGACGCGGTTGTACTAAAGAGTTAACATTTGACATAGATCCTATGCCACTCTTTTACCATTCAATTATGAAGCTGTCAACTACCATAAAATGTTGTAATTAAAGCCATTTCAGTGCAAAGAGTTTCAAACCCTTGACTAGATTAACATCACGTGATGACTATCAACTCTGTATGTAAGCACAAGGACAAAGAATTAGAGCACCAGTTGCGTAACATTTCTTCATATTGCGTAAAACAGTTCTCCAAGAAACAGGATGTATGGTAAGCATTACGCAGGATTATTATTTGGACCAAAGAGTAAGATGCAAAATTCAAGTTATTCACATAATGCAAAATTCAAGTTATTCACATAAAACAGTTCTTCATATAATTAATGAAAGAAGGGAGGCAGTGGCAGATCGCTAAATAGTCATGATAGTGATGTGAGAAATAGGAAAGAAACCAAATATTGCAGGATCCTTTAGGAACAAATGGCTATGTATCTCAGCCGAGATCAGAATTTGGAGAACTAAAAGGGAGAAAAGGAATGCTAAAGAATACATAGAGAGTCAAAGACATACAGGACCAGCAGTTTTCCGATCCAGAGTGATGGCAAAATACATCTCATTGATAAGGGAAAGCTTTTTGCATATGTAAACCTGCAGGAAGAAACAATGAAGTCATGATAAATGGGAGAGCAGAATCATGAAGCAATTGAAAAGAGAAGACAGGCCCAAAGCAAGAGAATACAGAGCCTATAACAAGAAACAGCAGGAAAAAGCTCACATTTGTTAGAATACGCATTAAATAATTAAACAAATTGATAAACTAATCAAACGAAAAGGCTGACACCTACTTGCTATAGGAAATCTAAAACAGAAAAGAAAAGCAAGTTCATTAGCCAGGTTTTAATTGTCACCTGTAATATATCTAGGGATGCCCCAGAATAAAAATGACAATCCTGAAAATGCTGACTGAACTGATTGAATCAAACCAAAAAATTCAGTTTTTCTATGTTCAGTTTTGTTTTTAAGCCAAAATTAGGTCTAATTCAGTTCATCAGGTGTAGTCCACAGCAGAAAATAGAGAGAAGATACAGACATGCCTTTATGGAGCCATCCTTTATCTTAGCGGGCATAAAACAACACATTCATTCTTCAACCTAATATCTTTGAATATACCAGACAGGACGTGCCAAAGAGAGATTAGGCACCATAATCAAAGTGAAGTGTTGAATCTGCTCTCTCAGATCATGCATGGCACCGCAACAAGGTCTAATACATAAGAGAGCCATGGTTTTAAACCATGCCTTCATGTGTATCCATTGTTTTCCACTTAATTTGTTTTCTTTTTGCCTTTTGCTGTTCTTGCTCAGCTACAACACCAGAAACAAGCAAATCCAAAACAGAGTGAACCTACTGTTCTGGTGTGGTTGAACCCTATGGCTTTCATGTATAGTTCAGTCTTGGGTTAAATAATAAGAGACCCAGTGAGGACTATAGCAAAGTCCATATCCAATCAGCTTCTTTACACTCCACATACACTTGTCTTTTCATAAGGATCAATTTCTCATTCTCATAGTAACCAAAAGTCTAACTGGATTACGGCCCCCAACCCAAAAAAGATAATCCAAAGGAAAAAACAAAAAGCTACTCGCCAACTCATCAGTCTATTTTTGTCATAGAAAAACAGAAACACCATAAACAAACCCTCACTAGATGAAAAACAGAACCATACAATGGTACTTCCAGACGTTAACCCATAGAGCAAATTTGAAATGAAAAAAAAAAAGAAAAACAGCCCTATAAGAGTGGCCAAAAAGAACAAGTATGTTAACAATCAAAGGGGCGTCCTCAAAAATTTGAGGATTCATGTCATCTAGTATGCTACAAGAATAAATATGGCTACAAAATGGAAGTAAACGAAAGCAACATGTTTAAGCAGAAAAGCCTATTCAACATTGAGTATGCCCGACCTTGCTGACAACTTTTCCTTGAGGCCCAGTTTGTTTGGTTACAAGTATCTGTCCAAGCATCTTCCCTGCAACCAATGAATTTTCATGCTGAGAAGTACATATTATATATAGCAGAAAGGCAATAACAAACTTTAAACAATTTCTTCGGTGTTAACAATATCAAATACGCCAGAGGCCAAAATTAATCCCAGCCATCATCTACAATTTTTCTTTCAAGACCAAATTTATGATATTATCTTGCGTAGAATTTCTTCCAAATTATCCACATGGGGATTTAACCTTAATAAATCCACATATTAATGGTTCAAATTTCTCTAGAAAAACCTAACATGTTTGAAAAGCCCTAAAAAGGAGCACCAAAGTGTGATCTTCTCCATTTTCCCATGTTTATGTTTAGTTGTCCACTTCTACAGGAATGCCCACTCCTTCCACCCATGTTTGGTTACTGGGGTGTTGATAATCCATTTACCATAAGCTTATCCTGTTTCCTTCACACACTTCCATGTGTGCCCTCACGGTTCTATATTTACAATTAATTCAAGGGTAATTTGGATGCTCTATCGCTTCCTTCTCATTCTCAAGTTATTCTTTATCGCAAGCAAACAAAGAAATTGGAGTTCATTCAACTCCACTCTTCCTCTAATTCCATTTCCTAACTCAATTCCATTCAATTGAATCGAATATAATCTAAGTGTAGTTCTCAGGCAATTTGGGCCCAATGGACCATACGTTGGAAATTTCAGAAGACATGCAGTTTTCTTGAAGAATGCTTCCATACCAGCTATTTGGTCAGCCTCATCAGCCTTGACAATATGCACTCCGCCTTTAAGCCCATTCTTGAACGTACCCAATCCTCTTCCACCAGCAAGTATTTGGCTTTTGACAACTAACTGCCAAAAAAAGTGCAAAGACAAAGAATTTAGACTGATGTTCAGGCCCTTTTGGCTCAGGTTAGCAGTCCATGTTATTTACAATACCTCATTTTCATTAGGAAACACTTCATGAATTGCCTTCTTGATCTCCTCCGCAGAAGAAACGGCGACACCCTTCGGGACATTAATGCCATATTTGCCCATTAACTCAGCACCCTGAACTCAAGGTAAACAAAGCCCGTGTCAGGTAGCAGATTAAAAAGCCTCAAGGAAGCATCCTCAAATCATTCGCACAAGCCAACTGCGCATGAAGAAAAAGAAATTACTGCATTGAGCATCCGCAAGATATTCCCTAAAAGCCGACACATCATTCATGAATTTCGTTTAGGCAGGTTGATTACCAAACCTTTAAAAATCTGATCAAATCTCTCTAATCCCCAAAAACACAGTATTCCTACAAATGAGCAGATCCATAAGCTCGCCTAGCACCCCAACAAAATCAGACATAGACACAACCGCAACTCGGCAGACTCCGGCGTCGTCAAAAGTAAGAGGTGAAAACCGTGTCATTTCCTGAAGCAGCAAGAAATCACCGTCTAACAACAAGCACAATCGAAAATCAATCGCACGGGAGCTCTTCGGCCATTCCTCCGCAGACGAAACGCGAAAACATCAAGATACTTCGGGCATCTCCGCCGTCAACTCGTGATCACATCCGGCGCAGATGCAATCCGAGCGCCTAAAGATCCCAACTTCTCCGGAGACGAATCCCCCGACGAACGACACCGCATCGAGGCAGATCGCGAGAGGGGGAAGAGGAGGGGGAGAGGAACCTGGTACTCGTGGATGTTCAAGCGGCGGAGCTGGTGGTGCTGGGACTTGCCGGCCACCGCGAGGGTGTTGGAGGCCAGGCGCTTCAGCAACGCTCTCACCATTTTCGGCCTGCGTCGGTGCGTCGGCCGGTCGTTCGGTCGATCGGTCGGCGGAGGCGGTGGAAAACCCTAGCCTCGCGGAGAAGATGAAGAATCCACCTCCTCCTCCTCCTCCTCGTCTCCTTATTGGGCGTGGCGTCTCTCTTGATTCTTGGAGCAGACAGGCTTGCGAGAAAAAGAAGGGTTGACAGAAAGAGAGAGAGAGAGAGAGAGAGAGAGAGAATACGCCGATCAGACGCCCGCCCGCTTTTCTGACCGGATTCGCTCGCGGGAGGGCAAGCTAGACCGTCGGACCAAACCGGTGGATCGGGTCGGGCCGAACATAGTTCGATCAGAATTGACATATTTCACCCGTTTTGATTTATTGTCGTGCAATACAAATGCAGTGACTTATACCCAACCCGACTAATATTACTAAAGTATTTTTATATTTAACTCGATTTCACACCCAACCCAATTGACGCCCGCTCACTTTTCTAACTGGATTCAATCGTGGGAGGGCAAGCTAAACTGTCGAACGGGTGGATTAAGTCGGGTCGGAAATGGTTCGACCCAAATTGATCTATTTAACCTGTTTTGATGTACACAACCCGACTAAAACATCTTTATATTTAACTCAATATAGAAAACTCATACCTAAATTTAGGTGACAGAGCGAAGTGAGAGCAAGAGCGAGATCGAGTGAAAGCAAAAAAGAGTGAAGAGAAGTTCATAGAGGTTGATTGGATCTGAGTAAGTTGTGAACCTATTTAACATCCATATTATTTTGGGTTATACCATTCTAATATATTTATTGGATATAATTAAGTTATATAACAACTCAATCCATCAAATTTGGGTTAAGAAATAGGTTTATGACCCATTTCGATAGGTCTAGGGCAAACTATCATTTTCGGTTTTTTTTACCCATAAAAATCAAATGTTTTTTCAGACAAATAAACAATTTGAAATTTCAATTTCAATGGTAATTCCTTCATGGTCATTTGTAGTTTTGTTTCTTTTTATCTTCTCTACAATTAGGGCCGTCCAGACAAGTGAGTTCATACTCTATATTGATGATATAGATACACATCCATGGTAAAATAAAGGGTTAATACCACGAAAAACCCCAAATTGGTACATTTATGATGAATTTACCCCAAACTAATTTTTTTACTACGGAAAATCCTAAACTGGTACACTTGTGACAAATTTACCTCAAACTAATTTTTTAACCACGAAAAATCCCAAACTAGTACACTTGTGATAAATTTACTCTAAACTAATTTTTTAATCACAAAAAACATCAAACTGGTACACCCGTGACAAATTTACCCGAAACTGATACACTTATGACAAATTTACCCTCCGTTAACTTCCATCCAATTTTACCGTTAAATTTGTTGATGTGGATGACACATGGTGATGGGTTATGGTGATGTGGCAAGTCCACATGGAAATCCATAGGGCAAATACCACGAAAAATCCCAAATTGGTCCGCTAACAGATGGTAAATTTGTTACAAGATTACCATTTTGGGGTAAATTTATCACATGTGTACAAGTTTTGGATTTTTTGTGGTAAAAAAATTAATTTTGGGTAAATTTATCACGAGTGTACCAGTTTGGGGTTTTTCATGGTTAAAAAATTAATTTGGCGGTTACAAAATCGAATCCTTTCGGTGTTTGCTGATGACAGTGTTCTACTAACTGACCCACAAGCGGTCATGAACCACATTGTTGGTCACTTTCAGGAGCTACTCAATGGTAATTCTGCGTCTATCCAGCCATCTGTCCGTGAGATACGGGATTTCATTGGCCGGGTTATAGATGAGAATCAGAGGAACCGTCTAGCACAACCGGTTTCGGATGAGGAACCCTGTTTTCACTTGCTAGAGGCAAAGCCCCTGGGCCGGATGGGTATAACGTTGATTTCTTCAAAACCTCTTGGGAGATCATTGAACCCTCCATTCTCATGGTGGTAAGAGATTTTTTTGAGTCTGGTTGTATGCTTAAAGAGTTAAACAATACCATTTTAACTCTAGTGCCGAAATCCCCTAATGCCTCAGCCATGACTGATTTTCCGTCCAATTGCATGTTGCAATACCCTTTACAAATGCATTTCTAAAATCCTGGCTAGGCGTATTGCTCATGTCTTACCAACTTTGATTGGCCCTTCTCAAACAGCTTTCGTTAAAGGATGCAGAATTAGTGACAACATCATGATTGCTCAAGAGTTGTTCGCGGACTTTTATCATGAGGCTTACCTTCCTAAGTGCGCCATCAAAGTGGATTTTCAGAAAGCTTTTGACACAGTCGACTGGGAGTTCATTGAAAAGACACTAAAGGCCTTCAAATTTCCGGATTTCTTCATCAAGCTGGTTATGGCTTATGTGTCAACAGCCAAATTCTCGGTTTCAATCAATGGGGAATTACATGGGTTTTTTGCTAGTTGCCGAGGTATACGACAAGGCGATCCGCTATCGCCGTATCTTTTCATACTGGTTATGAAAGTCCTGTCCGGAATTCTAAAGGCAAAAACAGACATTCCGGATTTCCATTGGTTTTGGCGATGCAAAAAAACCCGTATTTCTCATCTATCTTTTGCGGATGATGTGCTCCTCTTCTCCGAAGCTCACTTGAGGTCGATTGAACTGATCAAGGAATCTCTTGACCTGTTCTCCGACTGGTCTGGCCTTAAACCGAATAATAGGAAAAGCAATATCTTCCTCTCGGGAGGGAATCCGGTTTTGCATGGCCAATTACTTCAATGCCTTGGCTTTCAACAAGGTACACTCCCTTTTCGCTATTTAGGCGTGCCTATTATATCAACTAGACTGCGTAAAGAGGACTGTAAAATCTTGATTGATTCTATAACGGCTCGAGCCCGCTCATGGACTCAACATTTCCTGTCCTTCGCTGGGTCGGTTACAACTCATCAAATCAGTCCTGCATTCCATGCAAGTGTATTGGGCTACTATCTTCTCTATTCCGAAATCAGTATTATATAGAATTGAGGCTATTTTGCGACAATTTCTATGGAAAGGTCCTGACCTTGGCATGGGTGGAGCTAAGGTAGCGTGGAATGCTGTATGTCTACCCAAAGAAGAAGGTGGCCTTGGGATACGGCGACTTGTGGAATACAATAGAGCAATGACTCTTAAACACATATGACTTCTCTTTATTGATAAGGAATCCATGTGGTGCAAATGGATACATTCAACCTTCTTAAAAAAATCAAACTTTTGGATTGTATCCAAACCTACATTTTGCTTTTGGACATGGAAGAAAATTCTGGATTTGCGAGCTTCCGCCCAAGCACTATTTCGGTGGAAGATTGGTAATGGACGCTCGGTGTCCTTTTGGTTTGATTGGTGGCATAACAAAGGCCCACTCTACCTCATATTCAACAATGTGGACATATACCAATCGCGGATCCCCCGGGATACTTCGGTTCGGAAATTCTATGATTGTTTATGGCAACCTTCATATACACTTGACACTATCCTGAGCTGGACGGATTCACCACCAATTTTTGTGGAGAATACTCCGGACAAACTGATATGGTCTCCACATCCTTCTGACTCTTTCTCGGTAGAGCTAGCTTGGAATCATATCAGAAGGAAAGGGCATCCAGCCCCATGGCACTCATTCATTTGGGGTCATCATATTGCCCCCCGACATGCCTTTCTCTTGTGGCTTATCTCTCTCAACTGGCTGCCTACCCAGGTACTCCTCCTACAAATCCGCAGGATTGACACCGCCTTGTGCGCTTTCTGTGGTGATAGACCAGATTCGATCAACCACCTCTTCTTTGAGTGCACTTCTACTTCTAGGCTGGCTTCTTTCTGGGCAACTAAATGCAACCTTCCATGGCGCAACCGTCCTTGGCAAGAGCATATTAGGTGGGCAATGAAAGTTTGCGGTGGATCTTCCTTTGCTCACCGCCTCTCTAGATTTTCCTTTGGTGCACTATGTCATGTCATTTGGACTGAAAAGAACAACGCCATCTTCAGAAACAAGAGTGTATATATCCCGGGTATGTGCTTGCACCTAGTCAAAGTCGTGAAGGATAAAGCCATATCCATTGGGGGAGTTGAGGATACTCCTAGGAACCGGCAATTACAAAGGAAGTGGGGTCTTCCACCTTCAATCTTCGAACCGAACCAGATGGCCTCTTAATTCGGTGTATTAAGTCGCCTTGTATTTAGTTGGTCTCTCTTTGGCTTGTTGTATAGTTCTTGAACCAACGTGGACCCTGTTCGGACATTTCTGTGTCCTAATCGGGTCAAGGGTTGGCTTTGGCGCTATATTGTATATGGTGTTTTGAAAAGTAATACATATTTTTACCTTTACCAAAAAAAAAAATTTGGGATAAATTTATCACGGGTATATCAATTTGGGGTTTTTTGTGGTCAAAAAATTAGTTCGGGATAAAATTATCATAAGTGTACCAGTTTAGGGTTTTTCGTAATCAAAAAATTAGTTTGGAGTAAATTTGTCACAAATATACCAATTTAGAATTTTTTGTGGTATTAACCCTATAATAAATTAGTCCGCATATTTATGTCTATATATCCATATGACCTTTCTTAATTACCCCTACATTATACAATAGGAAGTCACCATATATTAGAGGTGAGCATAATTTCAAGGTAGAACCTAGAATCTGAGAACCTAACTGCTAAAACCTATAGGTTCTAGATTCCAAGGTATGCAGGGTAGGTTTCAAGTCCAAAAATTAGGGTACTTGTTTCAACAGGTAAGTTCCAGGTTTTACGTAGGTGGAACTTGAAACCCAAAACCTTAAATAAGGTTTTTGTATTTTTTTCTTGGTCTATATCTTCGTGTGATCTTGCGGTGTTTCATGGCGTTAAATGATGAGTATATAATCTAGAACCACTAATCTGAGCTTTTATTTTATGACTTGTTAATGTTTTATATTCTCCATGTGTCTAAATATAAGTTATGACCAGTGAATCGTAGCAGTAAGTAGTAGTCATTAAAGGTGATAATTTACTGTAATTGTTTAATTAAAATACAGGTGGAACCTGGGTAGACCCTGAAACTGACCTTGAAACCTATGATAAGGTAGATTCCAAGTTTCAAGATATGTAATGTAAGTTTTATATTTCAAGTAGAATTTGTATGAAACTTGGAACAACTCACCTTTTGCATGATTATAAGTAACCACATCCTTAAAACTAAACCACTTCCTCTACCTCAAAGGACGATTACCCAAGAAGCCACAA